TTTGGAGGCACTTGTGGCCAGCAGTGAGAAACTGACAGGAGAGCTTTGCTCAGAGAAGAGTTCTTCTCTGGGACTGGCTTCCTGTGGCTAATATGAATTTTTCGTTTTCTTACTGTGCTTAGAGTGAGCCCTGCCTTGAGGCGCTCTAGGGGCCTAGGGTGCTAAGAGTTGGCACTGAATGTGTGCTGGACAGTGACCTCAGCACTCTGGGTGCATTAACTCTAGTGACCCTCATGCCGGCTGTCTGAGGTGGGCCTTGCTATCATCCCCATTTCACAGATGAGGAAACCGAGGCTTAGAGAGATGAAGTCTCTTTCCAGAGTCACATGCGTGGTCAGTGGAGGAGCCAGCAGTCAGGCCCATCAGCCTGCCCTAGAGTCTGCCTTGCAAGGGAGGAAGGGCACCTTTCTTGCTCTCAAGAAGCTTTAATTTTCAGAGGGCCAGAGAAATGAATCTGTTCCCAGGCTGTGAGCCAGTTTTTACTATTTTGGAATTCCCCTTCTTTGAACTTGGCCAGGAATGGTCTGCCCGGAAATGACGTATCTGTTCGGTTTCACATATGTTAGGCCCCTGGCTGGAGCATCCAAAGACAAGTAGGAAGTGGTTCTCACCCCAGAGTCTTCAGATTTGACGACGTGTCACAGAGACAGGTATAAAGAAAGGGCTGGGCTGGGTCTGTAGAAGGGCCAATCTTACCTGTAGGAGAATCAGAAAAGGCTCGGGAACAGGACACCAGGGTAGGGGAGTAGCAGGGGAGGAGGCTCATTGGGCTCTTGGAGGAGAGGAAGAGTGAGGGCAAGGCTTTTTGGGGTGGTGAGCTGAACAGGGAGAGGGAGGAGGGTGGAGGAGAAGCTTCTGGGTTAGAGGGAAGAAAGGGTGGGCAGCTGGACTTCATTCCCATTTTCATATCTAAAAACCCCGCAGGGTGAGGGGAGCTGAGGGCTGTTTCTGTAGCTCTTGCAGGAGTGTGGTGTGGCATGCGGAGCTCAGGGGACTGTTCACAATGCAGTTTGGAGTCCTTAGGGCATCTGGGGTTGGGGGAGGGATTCAGTTGGGTAATGGATGAGGCCTTGGGAATGGGTCACTTCCAGTGGGCAAATGACCATGGTGGCTGCTGTGCAGAGGCCTTCCCCAGGGAGGACGGGGGGTGGGGGAACCCAAGGCGAGATGTCCCTAGGCCCCCTTGTCCCTGGACAAAGCCGAGAAATGGCGAAGGAGTCATGGCCTCTCTTCCCCTTTCTCAACCGCCTTCCCCTCCTTGGAGTCAGACGGACTGGGATTGAATCCTAGTTCTTCCTCTTACCAGGTGCGTAGATTTCGTTACGTGACTCTGAGACCCAGTTCTCACTTCTCTGAAGTGGGAAGAATTGGGTCTTCCTTGTGAGGAATTGTGAGGACTGAAGTAAGTTAATCTGTGTCAACCGGCAGCCCGGTGCCCGGCACACGGCAGGTGTCGTGTACATCAGAGCTGCTATCATGATCAGTATTATTTTCCTAGATGACCGCCTCCCTCCCCTTCCTCCAGTTGAGTGCGAGCATGGGAAGGAAGGGAGCACGGTCCTCTTCTTTTGCCTCCTTGCTCTGAGGAGCTTCACCCTGAGGCCCCCTCCTTTGGCCAAGCTCATGGCCCACTCACACTTGAGTGGCTCCAGCCGGCTTTGCCCTAGCCCTTTGGCCTCCACAGGGCTGCCAGCTTTGCCCTCGATGAGCTCTCCCACCATGGTGGGGCCTGCCATCTGGTAGGGCAGTAGGGAGCCAGCCTGTGCGAGTGTGTGTGTGTGTGTGCCTGGCCCGAGCATCAGACCCAAGTCAAGTACACAGCCCTCCTGTGTGTTGGGAAGAGATGGGGTGACTTTTGGAAAGCCAGAGAGGCCGCAGGTTTGCCTCTTCTGTGTTTATAAGTCCAGACACCTGGTGTGGGTCTGACCCCTCCACACACACACACACACACACACACACACACACTCACTCACCCTCACACTCACGCCTGCTCTCTCTGGAGCTGGAGCCCTCTTTCTTGGTTTCACAGCCTGCCCATACCCCTCACCGGCAAAGCCCCTCAAATGCTCACTTTGGGGGCTGGTAGCTGTCACCTCTGAATCAGGACCTGTGAGTGTTACTTAGAGATTGTGCAGGAGTTGAAGAAGCTTCTGTTATGCCGAGATGATAATTGCGCTATTTAAAGCCGGCCCTGGAGCCAGAAGAAGCCAGGTGTCCTGACGCGGCGGCTCTAGAGCTCCCGTCTGTTCACCATGCTGTATGGGTGGGGGCAGGGTGGGGGCGGCCCTGGGCAGCCATCTCGGGGCATCTGCCTGGCGTCACCCTCTGGGCTTATACTCAGCCTGCTCTACATGATGCCATTTCACTAGCGGAAGTGGAGTGGTTACCTGGCACCTGGTTGGGAGGGAGGCTGGGAAAGGCCTGGCGGCAGCCAGCTCCTCAGTTGCCAGAATGACCGGGAGGATTTGGGGAGGCCAAGTTGGACCAAATAGCCAGCACAGTGGGCAGCCTGAGGTCTGTTCTTCCTTCCTGAGAGCTTCCCGGCCCCTTTCCTGTAAGGAGCTAGAACAAGCCCCACCCCCCCGCCCAGGGCTGGCCTTTGCCCACTGCTAGGGTAATTCACATGCCCCTGTAGTCATGGGGTGCTTTCTGCTTTTCCAAACTCTGTGTTATCTGTGATCTCATTCCTTGAAGGTGGGCAAAGCCAGGGCCACGCGGTCCACCTTACAGCAGAGCTCTCGGTAGGTGGCGACAAGCCCAAGGTTATCCAGCTGGTCTGTGGCAGAACTGTACCCTAGGTGTCCCGAGTCCCAGCTCTGGGCTCCTTCCTCTCTTACTACACTGCAGGATGCCTGGGGATCTGCTCTGAGGCTCTTTCGGGGACCCTGAGCTCCTGAGCACACTACACTCCTCTTCAAAGGACAGATTCTGCCACAGGGAGCCCCTTCCCCAGCTGGACCTTCACTTGTCTTTCATTTCTTCTTGCAGTGGGGTGGGGGAGTGGGAGACGAGGAGGGCCTGGCAGCTGGTGAGTGTGGAGAGGCTGTGGCCTTTCAGCCTCACAGATTGGAGCACTCGGGGTGAGGGTCCTGGGCACAGTGGGAGGGAGAATTGGAGGGATTGCTGTTATTAGCATTAGTGAGTTGGCAGGTCTGGCAAGACTAGGGTAGCAGCCTCTCCTGTCCACTCCCATCTGCTCTGCGGGGCAGGGATGTTGGGGTGGGGAGGGTGTGGACCAGGGTACTTCTTGGGACCCAGCCCTCCGCAGTGGCTGTTCAGCTTGGGGAAAGGGTCCTCTGGATGAGTGTGTCTGTGTCCAGTTTGTGTCTGGGAGCATGTGTGTGGCCACACGTGTATGTCCTAGGTCCCCACAGTTCCGTGTCTGCCTGTGTGCATGTGTGTGTGCACGTGTGTGCGTGCGCGGCCGTACCCACACGCCTGCCTGAACTCCTGGGCCCTCTGAGAAGGGCTGTGGGGGTGAGCCCAGGAGTTCTCAAGCTGGTGCTCCAGCTTGTGTCTGATCCAGGCCCACATCCGTCACCAGCCTCCCTCCTGCTGCGCCCATTTCTGCCTAGATCATGAGTACTTTGGCGGTGGGGGGGGGGGTGCTGAGCGGGGGATGATAGGTGGGTTCAGGTAGAAGAGGCTCGTTCTTTCTCTGGTTTCCCTGCTGGGTTCGGCCCTGCCGCGGGCTGGGGTCCGCCCAATGTCCAACTTCTTTCCTCACATTGGGTCCTGATGCCTCCTGTCTTTTCCCTGATCGGCCCACTCTGCCACCCAGGGCGGGGGATGGACAGGACGCAGTCCCTGTGTCTCCTAGATGGTAAGAGGAGGGGAAGGAAGGAAAGCAGCATTTATAGGGCAGCTCCTGTGTGCCCGTTACTGTGCCGGCTGCCCCACACCCTGTTTCTCATGCAGCAGGAGCTCTGAAGACAGCGTCTTCTGACACTGATTAAAGTCGTGGCCTTCTGGCAGTGGGTGGGGGTTTGGAAGGCAATGGCAGGCCTAGAAATTGCCAACTGCACACCGCCTTCCTTGGCACACTTTCCTTTGCTCCGACTACTGGGCTTCCCTGAGCCCTGCTCAAGGTGCTACTGAGGCTGGGCCGTGCACGTGTTCCCCAGCAGGGAAACGAGACTGCCGGCCGGGCCAGCAACGGGCAGTTACACAGAGGGAGAAGATTCCCAGCCACGAGCAGGGGACTGCACATCTCAGCAGAGTGACGCCCTTTATCCACTCCTCACTGTGGGTCCCTTCACATTGTTCAGTTCCCGCTCCAACACAGAAGTCGTAGGCCACGAATTCAGAATAGGAGCCTCCTCTCTGCCAGGTTTCAGGAGCAGGGGTGACTTGAGCTAGAGCCTCTTTTCCAAATGAGGGGCATGGAGCAGGTCGGGGCTCTCTGCCACCCAGTACCCAGCCCATGCCTTTCCAAGGAACCCTACTGTGTCAGTGGTCAGGGTAGGAGCTACCCTGCCCTTGTTTCCTGTGACCCTAATAGGCCACCCTGTGTGGTCTCCCACCCATTTAGAGCCCTTTAACCCCTTCTGTGCTTACCTTGGCCAAGTGCAGGGGAGAAGGCGATGGTGGGGGCAGAGACCCTTTCTACCCCCTTTCACTTTCCCACCCCTGGGTGTCAGGAGGACTCTGGGCAGCCCGCTGGCTGCTCCCCTGCCACTGACTGAATCATTTCTATATTTGGCCAGTGAGCCACGTGGGTGGGGAACCACTCCACTGCGGCGGCTGCACTTCTGACAGCTGGGGGTGGGGAGAGCTGGAGGCAGAGGCTACGACAGCGGGCATGTGCGCTCCTTGGGCAAACTAAGGAAGGCGCCATCTGAGTGAGTAAGCCCGGAGAAGGGGCATGCGCTACCATCTCCCTCTCCTCCCCCACGCTCTGGTCCAGGTCCTGTTTCCTCTCCCCCGCCCCACCCCTTCCCTGGACGTCCTTCTCAACTCAGCTGGTCCTCACCGCAGCCTCTTCTCCCACAGACCACTGCCTTCCAGAAACGATGGGTGTCGCTAGACCCAGCTAGGACTCCGCCAGGCTCCAGCACTCAGCCTAAGGAAGGGCCCTCTTCCAGCCTTGCTCTCCCTGCCTGTCATGGCCACACTCGGCTGCTGCCCGCTTGTCTGGGGACGTAGGGCACCCAGCCCCAGCCCTGCGAGGTTAAGCCAGGCCCTCTGGCTCCATTCCACAGGGGCACTCCGGGCACCAGGCCCCTTTCAGAGCAAGAGCAACTGATGGCATGGGAGAAGCCCCTGCCCACCTGTCTACTCACCTGGAGCTGCCTGCTCTAGGCCCATGCACTGGGTCCCCCTGGAGGTGCCAACCCTGTGACCCCCTCCCCTGTCCCCCGACGCTGAGAAAGCCTTGTCCACCCCCACCATGTGTGAGGTGATGCCCACAATCAACGAGGGGGACCCCCTGGGGCCCCCCCATGGCGCCGATGCTGACGCCAACTTTGAGCAGCTAATGGTGAACATGCTGGATGAGCGGGAGAAGTTGCTGGAGTCCCTTCGGGAGAGTCAGGAGACCTTGGCAGCCACGCAGAGCCGGCTCCAAGATGCCCTGCATGAGCGGGACCAGCTCCAGCGCCACCTGAACTCTGCCCTCCCCCAGGTAAGGCCTGATTGTCGGCACCTCCCCACCTCCCCCTCCCCCCCACAGGCCCTGCTAAGCCCTGCAGAGCCCGGCACACTCTGGGCCCTCAGCTTATCTGCATCTGTTTGCTATCAACAAATGGAATTCACAGAGCATCTAACTTCCCTTCATCTCCCTACCTAAATCCTTTCCCTGTCACTCCCAAGCTCCTTAGCCTGGCATTAGCTTCACCTGGAGAAATGGATGGAATTTGATGTGGGAAGAAAACTCAGCCATAGCTGCCAACTGCAGTGAGCCCATACGGCCACCAGGTGGCACCCTAGACTGGAAAGACACCTCAGCCTTGACTGCTTCTCACCAGTGCCCTATTCTTGGAGGTGGTGGGTGGGGAATCACAGAGGGTGGAAATGGAGAAGCCTTAGAGCTCATCTAGTCCTCTTATTGCACGGATGGAAAAAACAAGAGGCATCACATAGAAATTCTAGCCAGAGCTGAATCTACAAGCCAGGGATCTTGACACCTGTCTTATGCTCCTTAAAAGCACTACTGCTAGCAATGATGGTCACCATTTCTGTGTTTTCTGTGTACTAGGCATGTTGTGTGCAATTTCACAAATGATGGAGGTAAAGCTTGAGGAGATTAGTCAGTTGCCCAGCCTGTGGGTGCTGCTGGGACCGGGGAGGGAGCCCGGAGGAGCCACACGGCTTCAGACTCAGCCCCAGGGTCTTTCCCCACGTGTGGGGAAGAGTACCGGGGTGAACCCGGCTGGGCTGTGGAAATCTCCTCCCAGGGCCGCTCAGAAGTGGTGGGGGCAGAATCTTGTGATGCTTCATCAAGAGGGATATGGAGCCCTGGTGGAGAAAAGGAGTGAGAGGTCTTCCCTGACTGTGCATGAGGCTCCGAACAAGCCCTAAAATGAAGGAGCCAGTCCCTGCCCCTGGGGCTCACAGGCTAGAAAGGAGATAAATGAAAACCCAAGTGACCAGGCAGGGGAGGAAAAAGGGGCTCCAAAGGGTTGTTAAAATGGTGGTAAAAGCCTTTGGTGGACTTGTGCTAAAGTGCTTTCCATACGTTGGTTCATTTGCTCATTAAAGCAACACATGAGGGTGGCCTCTATGTGTATCTTACAGATCAAGATGGAGGTTCAGAGACTGGGTAACTTGTCCAGGGTCACACAGCTCATGGGGCAGAGCTGAGATCTGATTCCAGCCCCAGGCTGGGAGCTTCAGGAGGGCAGGGATCATGTCTTTCTTGTGTATGTACCCAGGGGCCAGCACAGAACCTGGTACACGGTAGATGCTCATAGTATTTGAGGTTAAACAATGGGCTCCTAAGCTGGTGCTCTTAACCACTGTTCCAGGCAGTTTTCAGAGGAGGGAGAGAGGCTTCCACTGGGGAGTCTGGAAGGTCCCAAGGAGGTGTATCCGTTGAGACGGGCTTTGAAAGATATGTGTGATTTCATCATGCGGTGAAAGAGGGGTTGGCTTTCCATGGGGAGGGAGCCCATTGAGCAAAGGTGTGGAATCAGGATGGTTAGCTGGTAACTGGATGTAGCAGGTGACTCGGGCTGACCAGATCTTAGGGTGTACGAAAAAGAGCCATGAGAAAGAAACTTGAAAACCAGGATAAGAAGTTTATATTCAGCATTGCAGACAATGCCATGCTTTGGAAGATGATCCTGGCAGCGGTATGTCAGATGGGCTAGGATTGGGGAGGAGGCAGGTGTTCTGGGGTGGGGAGCCCAGGAGGGGAGAGGAGAGAACCCTGGTGGTGGTGTCAGGGTGTGGGGCTGGGGGGGGTGTCGAGTCCTGCCTCTGGGTACGTGTGTGTGTGTGTGTGAGAGAGAGTGTGTGTGTGTAAACTTAGGAGTGGAGCAGCATTGGTACTAGGCCTGGCTTTCAAGGCTGTGAGATGCTTGGTCACCTTTGGCCATGGCCTTGACAGAAAGGCAGTAATCAAGAAACAGGGTTAGAAGCCCGAGACTTCTCAGGCTCTGGCATCCCTGGGTCCCTATCCCCTTCCCACAGCCCATATTTTCCCCTGTTGCCTGATTTGAAGTGATCAGAGGGGATTGCTTTGGAATTTTTCCTTCTGTCATGAGTCCTTGGTGTGTGAAGGAGGCTTTAGCTTAGGACAGGGCCATAGCCACTGTTCAGTCACTCCCAGATGCTGGGTGTCCTCAAAGTTTGGACCTTCTCTCTGGAAACTTTTCTGGAGTAAGGTGGTATCTACTTTAGTTTTTATTAGTGTTTATTTTGAGAGAAGGCGTGAGCAAGGGAGGGGCAGAGAGAGAGGGAGAGAGAAAGAATCCCAAGCAGGCTCTGCACTGTCAGAGTGGAGCCTGATGCGGGGCTCAAACTCATGAACCATAATATCATGACCTGAGCCAAAGCCAAGAACTGGATGATTCACTGACTGAGCCATCCAGGCCCCCGAGGTCTAATTTAATAAATAAGATATGACGGACCTGGAAATGTGAGGCCAGCTTCTCACCCCTGGGTGATTCTCCTGACCCAGATGGGTGGGCTGAAAAGGTGTCTCAGGGTGTGTGGGCCTGACGGTGTGGGAACAGGGCCCCTAGAAGGGATACTTTGAGCATAGCTACTCAGTAAGGGTAGACCAAGGCCCTGGCATCAAGCACCGGGAAGCAGCCCTGGTCTAAGTGAGTGGGGATCCCTTGGATGTGTGCTAAAGCCAAGTGGCTGCCTGGGCAGGTCTGCAGGCTCTCTTGCTTCCGCTTCCGTGGATCCTTATTTCACCAGCCACTTGCAGCTTGTAAAGTCCTGGGAAGCGGGTGGGAGGGAGCTCCCTGGAGCCCTCCCTTCAAAACCCCCTCTCTTCCTTGACTAATATCTATCAGTCTCTCTTGGAACCTTACCATGAGGTGAGACTCCCCTCCATCTGTTTCTAAAGGATGATGTCATCGGGTTGCTGGGGAAATAGAAATACAAAATAGGAAGGGTATAATCAGGTTATATTGTTGGCTGGAGAGGGAGGGAGCTGCGGAGCAGATTCGGTGACCTTCTCACGCCTGTTCCCACCTCTGTCCCCTGGTACGCTGACACATGCTTGGAATGCACGGAGGGCCCAGAGCTGTGGACCGGCTCTAGGGGTGCATGTGCCCGCTGCGGTTTACAGCCCTGTGATATGGATGGATGGGGACTTTCTTGGGGGCAGGTGCTGAAAGTAAGGGATGGGTGACAAGATCCCACCAGTGATGTGGGCATGCAGGACACTGGTTAGGGGGCAAATCCCCAAGCACTCAGAGGCCTTGGGGGTTTTCAGGAATTTGCCACCTTAACCCGGGAGCTGAGCATGTGTCGGGAGCAACTTCTAGAAAGGGAGGAAGAGATATCAGAGCTGAAAGCAGAGCGGAATAACACAAGGGTAAGTGGGTGACCTGGTGTGTGTGTGTGTGTGGACCCCTCCACCAAGGGAGCTAGCATGGCCAGGGCCAGGCATACCCCCTGCCCCTTCCTCACGACTTTTTGTCTTGTGTTCTGGGATCAAATGATTCAGCCGTCGGTGCAAGGTTTTTCACCTGTAGATGGGGGTGGTCACGGGAAGGTCAGGTCCTGGGAGAGACGCCAGCGCAGCTGGCTTGGGGCAGGTGTTCATCGGGGCAGCAGCTGTTTACCAACAGGAAGCATTTCAACGTTTTAACAGCAGTGCACACAGCTGTACTCCTGTCCACTCAGTGGTCATGTGGACCCTGCTTATAGCCCCTGGGGCACATGCTCACAGCCCTCCCTCTTGCCATCCCCTGCTCCCTGCCAGTTGCTTCTGGAACATCTGGAGTGCCTGGTGTCCCGCCATGAGCGGTCGCTGCGGATGACTGTGGTCAAGCGCCAGGCCCAGTCACCTTCAGGGGTCTCCAGTGAGGTGGAGGTGCTGAAGGCCCTCAAGTCACTGTTTGAGCACCACAAGGCTCTGGATGAGAAGGTACCCAACCTGGCCCACCACCTGACTCACCCCACCATCCAGCCCCACTTCGCTAGGGCCTCTGTGAGACCCTTCTCTGCAATTTCTGCATCCTGTGTTTGGGGAAAACTGCCTTCTTCCTTTATAACCGGCCCCGCCCACCACTACCACTACCTCCTCTTAGGTTCCCTCTCAGACATTTGCATCTCGCTAGATCCCTCTCTTTGTCTCATGCCCAATGCTGTTAGATCAAGCCCAGGCTCTTCCAGCCTGAGTCCAGTGGGGTCCCTGTTTCTTCCTCCATCTCCCTTTACCTTGGGCAGGTGCGGGAGCGGCTCCGAGCAGCCCTGGAGCGCGTTACCACCTTGGAAGAGCAGCTGGCGGGGGCCCACCAGCAGGTAAGCTGCCTGCCCACCCTCTACCCGCAGACTGCAGCTCCTGGAAGCCAAGGCAGGTTTACTGATCCACCCCACCCTATTCTGCATTGGATCTCTTCCACTGTCAGGGCTGAAGACCGCTAGCCAAGGCCCCTGAGGCTGGGAGGCAGGGGACTCGGAAGGGTCTGGAATATACAGGAAGTTCTCTCCTCTTTGACTCACTGCCCTGGGGGCCGTGCCCTCCAGGTGTCTGCCCTGCAGCAGGGGGCCGGGGTTCTGGATGGAGCGGCAGAAGAGGAGGGGGCTGTGGAACTGGGACCGAAGCGCCTGCGGAAGGTGGGTCATGGGAAACTGTGCAGCAGGGGCAGGTCTCCCCCCAGACGGGGAGCAAGGGCCCTACCCCACTTTAGTTCAGTAGAGCAAATGCTGGAATTAAACTTGGGCGTTTCTTCAATATTCCCATTTCTCTTTCCTTCTTTCTCCTACCCTACTTGCAACGAAATCTATAGATTTTGTGTGCGCACGATTGCCCAACGTGCTGCTAGGCACATAATGTGGTCCGCTCGAGTCGCCAGGTGTCATCTACCTGGTGTGTCAGTGTCAGGCGAGATCCCTTCTCTCTCCGAGCTTTGTTCCCTTTGTCATGCCCCTTCCTAGGTTACAAGATTCTGAGACAGCAGGTAAAACTAGAAACTACTGTTTTTCAAGAAGCACAGGAGAGCGAGGGTGTTTGGTCACTGTCTGGAGCAAGCTCCTGGGGCCTAGAGGAAGGAAGGGGTACCCGGCGGTGTACGCCGAGATGGGAGGCAAAGCTGTGATCCGCTCTGGGTGTGCTATCCCTGGGGTGGGCCAGGGGAGCGGGATACCCTGGGCCCTGATCACTGACTGGTGGCTCACTGTCCCTGGAGGATGACACGGGCCGGATAGAGGAGCTACAGGAGCTCCTGGAGAAGCAGAACTTCGAGTTGAGCCAGGCCCGGGAGCGACTGGTCGCCTTGACAGCATCCGTGGCCGAGCTTGAGGAGGACCTGGGCACGGCCCGCCGGGACCTCATCAAGTCGGAGGAGCTGAGCAGCAAGCACCAGCGAGACCTCCGGGAGGTGGGCAAGGGCCCCCGCCTGGCCCCATCTTGTTGAGTGCGGGGCAGGCGCTCAGGAGGAAAGATGCTTGGATGCCCTGGGGGTGGAGGGAGGGCAGGGCCCGGGCTGGGGAGTTTAAGACTGACCACTGGATAGGCTCCACTATGGGGAGGAGTAGCAGGAGGGATGGGTCAAGGTCAGAAACTGGCAGGGCAGCGCGGGGAAGATCCAGCCAGCCAGGTATTGGTGGGGAAGTGCAGCCAGGATGGGAGCAGGGTGAAGCTGATGACCTTCCCTCCCGTCCCCTCATCTCTCGCCCAGGCTCTGGCCCAGAAGGAAGACATGGAGGAGAGAATCACGACACTAGAGAAACGCTACCTGGCTGCTCAGCGTGAGGCCACATCCATCCATGACCTCAATGACAAACTAGAGAACGAGCTAGCCAATAAGGAGTCCCTGCACCGCCAGGTAACTCCTCCAACGGGTTGGGGCAGGCATTGTACTTGACCCTGGAGGCCCTGGCAGTCATGCCGGAACCTACTCCTTGGTGGCCCAGGAGCCCCTGGGGTCCTGCTGGTCCCCTTGGGAAAGGGGAAACCAGGCCTCTTGGGCAACCAAGAACCAAGGTTGTCCTTTGCCTCCTGGCCTGAGGGTCCAGGAGGCTTCGGTGCCCCGTCTTGACTCTCCCCTGCGCCCCCCCCCCCCGCCCCCGGGCTAGTGTGAGGAGAAGGCCCGACACCTCCAGGAGCTGCTGGAGGTGGCGGAGCAGAAGCTGCAGCAGACCATGCGCAAGGCAGAGACGCTGCCGGAGGTGGAGGCCGAGCTGGCTCAGAGAATCGCGGCCCTCACCAAGGCAAGTGGGCCTGGGGCTCTGGCCCTGTTTCTGCTTCCGGGTCACTTGGGGGGAGCGGGGGTTGTGTGGGCACAGAGCAGGCAGTGAGTGGAGACAGTGGGAGACGCTGGGTCTGGGAGCCAGGAAATCGCTTCTCCTGGCATGACCCCAGGAAGCGCGGCTGGGAGAGGGCTCCCAGCCCTCGTCACCCCTCAGGGATGTGACAGTCCCTTGAGAAGGGGTGGAGGGCGCCTTGGAGAAGTAGATGAGACTGCGCAGATGCAGAGTGGTTATTATTTATACTCTTGTGTTAATACTTCCTTTTGTTTGGGGCCGGAGTAGAAAAATTAGGACTTTCACCTCTGGAAAGATGAAATCTGAGAGGAGACATGATCAAAGGGGGTGCAGGGTGGGAGTTTAGGCTGAGCATACCTTTGTTTTCTTTTTTTAAAATTTTATTTTATGCTCCATGATTTTTCTTTTTTCTTTTCTTTTTTAAAAAAATTTTTATTTATTTTGAGAGAGACAGAAAGAGAGTACAAGGAGGGGGAAGGGCAGAGAGAGAGGGGGACAGAGGATCTGAAGCAGGCCCCGTACTGAGAGCATAGAGCCCCACGAACCGCGAGATCATGACCTGAGCCAAAGACAGACGCTTAACCGACTGAGTCACCCAGGCACCCTTAAGCATACCTTTCTTTATCAAATTGAAGCATTCTGGATTTAGGGACCAACTCTGGTGGCTTGAAGGTGGCAGCTCTAGGATTAATAAAAGGAAATAGAATTGTACCTGATGGGCAGTTAACTTTGTGGAGGCATGCGGGCTGGAACATCACAGGATCTGGAAGAGCCGGGTTAATGTACCAATATAGGCATGCGCTGGGTTAATCATGAGAATTTAGGGGTGTCTGCAGCAGGTTGGATGCTTTCAGGGCTGGTCTCACTTGGAATCTCCTTTGCTACCCTCCCTCCGAGCCCCTGAGAGAAGGAAATCAGAAGTGAGTAAGCATCAGGCCCCGGAGCCTTGGAGGATGCAGGGGGGCCAGTGGGCAGCTTGGTGGTGCTGCCGCCGGCACCCAGCACTGAATCTGCTTCTGCCACTGACTGGCTCCATGACCTGAAAAAAGTCACCCCCTCCCTAATCAGGTGTTAGTGTCATTATCTCTTCAATGAGGCCATCCTCTCTATGATGATGGGGTTGGACTTGGTGGTGTCTGGGGTCTTTTCTGCTCCTAGAGATGAAGTGCTGGGTTTAAAGAGCAGCAGAGGATGTCATGTTTGGGATGCTGAGCTGTCAGCTGTAGCATCTCCCACAACTGCCAGGAAGGGATGCACTGAACTGACGAACATGTTCAGATGATTCAGTAGGAGGGCTGTAAGGAAGGATTTCCCGATTGTAAGATGTATGACAGTCTGGAATATCTCGTCAGCAGAGACAGCGAGGTCTCCATCTCTGGAGACAAACGAGTGGAAGGGAGAGCACTCTACTTTGGCTGGTTTAGTCACAAAGATGATCACCGTGGCGAACATTTACTGAGTGTTTATTGTGTTCTAAGTGTTCGCCGTCGATTATCTCTTGTAAGGATGCAGTGGTCCAATGGGTATAGGTGCTATTGTTATCCATGTTTTACAGTTGAGGAAACTAAGGCACATAGAGGTTCAGTAACTTATCTGAGGTCACGGAGCAGGGAAGACAGGAAGCCGGGATTTGAACCCGGGCAGTCTGGTTTGCATCCATACTCTTTTAAGTGCAGGTCCATCTTCTTGGAGGCATTCTGAGATTCATGGTAGCTCATGTTTTCAGGTGGAGTTTTTCCTGGAAGCATGAAGAGAAGTTACGGTCCATTGGGCTGCTAGCTCTGGGATTTTTAAGTTTATTTATTTATTTATTTTGAGAGAGAGAGAGAATGAATGAATGTGGGAGGGGCAGAGAGAGAGGAAGAGAGAGAGAATCCCAAGCAGGCTCTGCATACTGTCAGCGCAGAGCCTCGTGTGAGGCCCAAACCATGAAATCGTGACCTGAGCCGAAACCAAGAGTTGGATGCTTAACCGACTGAGCCACCCAGGTGCCCCTGGGATGTTTTAAGGCAGGCCTTGAGCAGGAAGAAAGGGGTAGGGGAAACATCTGGCAGGGGGTAGAGAGTGCTTGGGGAGAAGGGCAGTGGTGATGGCAGTTCTGCTGCAAGGTGAAAGGTTGAGGGCTAGGCCTTGTTGGTACTGAGGCCCTGATCACCCCAGAGTAGCCTGGGATCAGGGTATGTGGGATATGGGGGCCTGAGCAGGAGCGCAGATGATCTATGGCCACACTGACCCATCCCTACTTCCAGGCTGAAGAAAGGCATGGCAACATTGAGGAACACCTGCGGCAGCTGGAGGGGCAGCTGGAGGAGAAGAACCAGGAGCTGGCAAGGGTGAGGGCACCGGGCTGGGGCTCTCGGTCCCCCTCCTTGTCCCCAGGGCAGCCTCCCAGGATGGTGTGTGGACAGGCCTGAGGAAGAGTGGGAGCTGGGAGGGGCCTGGCCAGGGACAGAGTCCTAGAGGGGCGAAGGAGGTGGTCAGGTGAGTGGGTTGGAACTGGGCAGGGATGGATGCTCCCCCTCCCCCCGGAAAGGCCCTGGGGGGACCTGGTACCAGGTGTGCTGGCTGTGCAGGTGCGTCAGCGGGAGAAGATGAATGAGGACCACAACAAGCGGCTGTCGGACACCGTGGACCGGCTGCTTAGTGAGTCCAACGAGCGCCTGCAGCTGCACCTCAAGGAGCGAATGGCGGCCCTGGAGGAGAAGGTGCGGTGGGTCCCCGGCCAGGGGGGGACAGGGCGAGGGAAGGGTGTGGATGGAGCCGGGCAGGCCCCGAGGGAGGAGTCAGGAGTCGGGATGTGACCCTGTTAGGGGCGGAGCGTGTCCGGACCGCAGACACTGGTGGACTGACCCCAGGGAGGCTGGAGAAAGGAGGAGCGGGAAGGGTGACAAGGGGAGGGCTGGCCTGGAGAGGTGGGGCAGGGAGGGGAAGGTGCGAGGCGGAGTCCTAGCTCACAGCTGTCCTCCCACAGAATACGTTGATCCAGGAGCTGGAGAGCTCCCAGCGGCAGATCGAGGAGCAGCACCATCACAAGGTACCCAGCTGCTGGCCAGCCGCGCCAGCCAGGGAGGGCTGGGCTTGCGGTGAGGAAGGAACACGCCTGTGTTTTATGCAGCTGCTCTGACACCCAGCACCATGCCAGTCCGTGCACAGACGTATTTCACTGATCCTCGCTAGAGCTCATCACGGTGGATGCATCACCACCCACATGTAAAGAAGAAATGAAGGCCATAAGCATAGGGCATAGGGTGGGCAGCAGAGAGGCAGGGCCCAGAGAAAGATTCGATGGGGCCCTCTAACCTGGTAAGGCAGGAATCCGGTGATTCTGGGAGGATTAGGCACTGTCCCTGCCGCAGCAATGTCTGTGAGGTCTGGGTGGGCACCGGGCGCCCCTCTGCTGCCCAGCCTCCATTGCCATTCGTTCGTGTGGTGGTGAGGGCTCAGCAGGCCTGTTCGGATAGAAGCCTTACCAAGATAGACCCTCTCCTGGCCCCGCCCCTCTGCCTGCCCGCTGCCGATCCGTCTGCTCCCTTTCCAGTTGGACCTCTTCTCTTGGTGTCATCTGTGGGCCTGGCCGGGAGCCCCTGGCTTTGGACTTTGCAGTACATTCTTCTGCTTCTCCCCAACTCTGCTGTCCTCTCTGTCCCTCTCTCCCCTCTCCGCCCCTCCCTGGTCCCACCCCCACCCTGGGTCTGCCTGGCACAGGGCCGCCTGTCTGAAGAGATTGAGAAGCTGCGCCAAGAGGTGGACCAGCTGAAGGGTCGAGGGGGGCCGTTTGTGGATGGCGTCCACTCCAGGTACCGGAGCACGGGAGGCTGGGCGAGCTGGGATGGGGTCCTGGATGGACCCTGAGGGAGGAGACTTCCTCCCACCAAAAGACCGCCCAGGACCTCAGGGTCCTCCTCCTATCCAGGGTGGGACACTGAGGCTCTGAGAACTTGGTCAAAGTCACCTAGCTCTCTTGGGCAGCTTAGAAGGAGAACCTGTCCTCTGAGCTGAGGGATGCTGAGAGGCAAGGAAAGACAGGATGCTCCTTCCCCAGTGCCATGGGACACAGGCCCTGCTTTCCTCGACAGAAGGGATGCCCTTCTGTCTGCTGAGTTACATGCTTGCACATGTCCCACAGGACTTGCTCATGGAAAGTGTCTGGTTCATTCTAGTTCTTTTGAGACACCATCTTTAGGGCTCTGGAGGATTGTTGTTTGAGAGTTAAGGACCACCTAGGTTCAGGTAGCAGGCAGGGGGCGGAAGGGCAGCGTGAGATTGAAATGAGGCATCAAGGACTCCTTACTGTTGGAAGTTGACATGCCATGTCCACGGTTGGTGACATCCCTTTTTCTGAAAACATTTTAAGAGATGGTGAGTGGAGCTTTCCACCTAATATTTGAATTAGGTCCATGTTTTAGAGAACTACTGGATTTCCCCCCACATTTTGTGAAGTCGATGACATTGAACTCAGACCTCAATCCTGCCCCTACTTCTCTGCCCAGAGAGGCAGGGTGAAGACTGAAGATACTAGTAGGTTGATGCCACTCAGGGTTCATGGCTCCTGGCTGTTTTCTTTCCAAACCAAAGTGGCACAGAAGAGTCTCTCTGAGGTTCCCTTCAGTTGTGCTGTTGCCATATCAGGGGAATAGGGATCAGCTTCCCGGAAGGAAATGTACATGCGTATGTATGTGTGGAGGAGTAGGGCTTGGATTAGGGAACGGAACGTTGAACTTGAAGAAGGGAAGCCTGTGGCTGTCTGGAATAGTAGAGATGTAAGTTCCGTCTTCAAGTTCATCAGAAATTGTTGTATAGGAGTATGGAGAGGAGCAGGGAGTGGAGATAAGAAATAGTACTTGGGATTCCTCTGACTTCTTCCTTCCCATAGGTTTCTCAGAAGAGACCCCCTACCCCCCATAAATAAGATAAGACTTCGAGTATATCAAGCCATTACCACTGCTTGCTTTCCTTAATGGTTGGGAATTCTTGGCTTTGACCACAGAAATACTGGACCCATCATGGAATTGGGACTGAGCTGCAGGGGAGGAGAGGGGGATAAGCAGAAACTCCCTTTTCCCTGCAGCCGTCTTGTGCAATCCACTGTAGACTTGCCCTGTACCTTTGCCCTGGGCCCCCTCAAGGCTTCCAAATTGGGAAGGCATAGGGAAGAAGTGTCACTAGGGAAGGCTTCCAGATATTCCAGAGCATCATAACTGGGATTCTGAAATCTCAGAGTTGAAATAGACCTTTGGGGTATCTCTAGCTCATGTCTCTGATATGGTGTCAGGGCATCCTGAAGCTTCCCGGGGATAGGGAGTATGCCTGGATTGAATTTTGGCTAGGGGCTCATTCCAGATTATGGGGAAACCCAAGAAATGTTGCTTAGGAGAAAACAGAGCAACAAAGACCCTCAGGATTAAAAGGACTTTTAGATACCCTTCCTTCCACAGTCTCTCAGTGCTGGGAGCTCTCCCACACCATTCCTGTCAGATGGCCCGAGAGCCACTGCTTGAATAACTCATTGATGGAGAGCTCAGCGTTTTAAATTTTTGTTTAATGTTTGTTTATTTTTGAAAGAGAGAGAGAGAGCACGCACCTGCATGCGAGTGAGTGGGGGAGGGGCAGAGAGAGAGGGGAGACAGAGGATCCCAAGAGGGCTCTGCATTGACAGCAGAGAGCCCAATGCAGGGCTTGAACTCACAAACTGTGAGATCATGACCTGATCTGAAGTCAGACGCTTAACCAACTGAGCCACACAACTGCCCCTCCACCTTAAAAAAAAATTTTTTTTAAATATTTGTTAAGTTTTGAGAGACAGACAGACAACTTTTTTAAAGCCACCAGATGCGTCACAAGCCAAATTTTACCATTATAAGGTCCTTTTTATGTTTTCTTTAAAACTTTTTTTTTGAATGTTCATTTATTTTTGAGAGAGAGAGAGAGAGAGAGACAAAGCACAAGCAGGAGAAGGGCAGAGAGAGGGGGAGACACAGAATCCGAAGCAGGCTTCAGGCTTTGAGCTGTCAGCACACAGCCTGATGCGGGGCTCGAACTCAAAAACCGTGAGATCGTGTGACCTGAGCCTATGTCGTAAGCTTAACTGACTGAGCCCCCCAGGAGCCCCCAAGGTGCTTCTTATGTTAAATGGAAAGCTGCCTCCCTAGAACTTTCTCCCCTGGATCATTCTGATCCCTGGGGCACCAGAGAATAAATTGAATCTCTAATTTACATGGCAGCCCTTAACCCATTTACAATGGCTCTATGCCTGCTAAGATTTCACCAAACTGAAGATCCCTTAACCCTTTGGGCCTGGTGGGTGTGAGCTGGGGCGCTCGGTCCTCAGGGCTGGCCTTCTCTCCCCCTGAACACTCAAGGTCGCATATGGGCAGCGCAGCAGACGTGCGGTTCTCCTTGAGCACAGCCACCCACGCGCCCTCAGGTCTGCACCGCCGCTACTCGGCACTGCGGGAGGAGTCTGCTAAGGTGAGGGGTGGAGTGGTGAGTGTGTGGGGGGGTCTCCCCAGGGAGTTTGGGGTCAGTTCGGCCGCGTGCCTGGCTCCAGTTTCACAGACGGCTGGCGTGTGGTGCAAATCCTCCCCCTCCTGTCCCCCGTGTGGACAACAGCTGCAGCGGGGTTTGGGGCCATTGTCAGCTGCAACAGCTGTGCCCCCTCGCTTTGGCCTCCTGGTGGGCAAGCGGTAGGGGCTGGCGGGTGGCCAGCCAGTCCCCGAGGCCCCACTGAAGCGTGTGCACGTGTGCCTGGGTGTGCAGGCGTGTGTTTCTGGTGGCCAGGGTGGGAGATGCAGGGGTGGGGTGGAATTGACAAGCTTTCTGGAACGAAAGCTGTGGTTTATGGGGGAGTTGAGGGAGGGACGGCAGGTTAGCTGGCTGTGGAGATGGCACCTGTAGTTTTGTGAGAAGCAGCTTCGAGTTCATGTTGAGACTGCCCCGGGGGGCCTGGGGCGGGAGGAAGGAACCGGAAAGATGGGAGCGGAAGAGGACCGACTTCATCTTTTTTAGGGGGTGGGGGAATGTGAATCTGCCTTAGCCCCATAATGGTTAAGTGTGCTTTGTCTTGAGACTGGACCCTCTACATGCGCTAAGGCACTACAGCATACATGTAGGGAAAGAAGGAACTACTGGCCTGATGGGGGAAGGTTCATCTCTGCCCTTAGAAAAGCCCTAGTCTGATGGTATCGCAGTCTTAAATGAAGGCATCTCTTTCTCTCTCCCCTCACCCTTTGCTCTTTCTGTTTTTAAGAACACAGCAGGTGCCCAGGAGCTAGAAAGGAGTCCTAAGGAGAACTTGAGGGTTTGGGTCCCAGAGGATGGGGTTAGGGCACCTCTCTGTGCCTGGTCCCTTTCCTTTTCTTCCCCTGCTTTTCTGGCTCATTCAGTTCTGTGCTCTTTCTTCTTCCGGGCCTTTGTCCACCGAAGAGGTTTGCAGGGTGACTTCTGAGAAGCCACTGCCTCTCAGGGTTGACCATAAGGCCCTGCAATGTGCTGAAACTCTGGGAGACACAAGGCAGTCAGGACTGCTTGGTTTCTCTTTGCCCCTGGATCTGGTTAGTCTTGAAGAGTTTGTGTGAATAGAAAGGGAGAGCTTACGTATATTGCGTACTTTGTACCAGACACCGTGCTAAGTGCTTCACGTGCATTTCCTCATTCAGTTCTCATAATTACCTGCAGAGTTGGTACTATTACTATCCCCGTTTTACAGAGGAAGAAACTGAGGCACAGAGACGTTACACAGCTTTACCACAGTTGCACAGCAGATATTCAGGTTTCAAAGCAAGGGAGCCTCTCTCTGGAATCTGCTCCTAACCACTCTGCCACCTGGCTCCTTGAAGTGGAGTATTATTTCTTAGGCTTTATCATGCACATAAATCACCTGGGAATCTGGTTAAAATGCAGACTCTGAATCATTAAGGCCTGGGGCAGGGGCCTGAGAGTTTGCACTTCTAACGAATCCCCAGGAGCTGCTGGTGCTGCTGCTACAGGTGGGGAGGGTCCTGCTCCTCAGCCCGTCTGGTGTGTCTTCTTACTACTCTTCTCCCCTCCTTTGCTAAGGGCTGGGAGCCCTCTCCACTGCCTGGGGTGCTGGCCCCCACAGCCACCCCTGCCTTTGACAGTGACCCTGAGATCTCCGACGTGGATGAGGACGAGCCAGGGGCTCTGGTGGGCTCCGTGGATGTTGTCTCCCCCAGCGGCCACTCAGACGCCCAGACCCTGGCCATGATGCTGCAGGAGCAGCTGGATGCCATCAACGAGGAGATCAGGTGAGGGCAGGGCGGAGGGTCTGGGAGGTAACCTTGAAGGACAGGGGCCCCTTTGGGCTTGGGCACTGCAGGAAAAATTCGCATGTATTTGCTGGTCTCCAACAGCTGCACCTTGAGTCCTCAGTCTAGGGACTCTGTGTGAGGTCTCAGGCCCACTACTGAACGGAGAGGCTTGGGACCTCAGATCGACTTCTCAGACTTCATTTCCCTTCCTAGGGCTCGGGAGGCTGTGTTCCTGCAGCTCCTGTGGCTAAATGTAATCGCTAAATGCCCAGTCCCCACTTACCGAGGTCATCTCAGGGTGAGAGCTCTGTATAAATGCGCTTGTCAGTCTTACTAGTCTCTCAGGGAGGCAGCATGATTGCCATGTTACAGACAAGGGAACAGAAACCAGACAGGTTGAGTGATTTGCCCAAAGCCACACAGTAAGTGGCAGAGCGAGGATTCAGAGTCAGGTCTATGCTCGGGGCACTGTAGCATGCCTTCCGTCTTTCATGAGGCAGCAAGCAGACACCAGTGATGGGAAAGTCATTAGGCCCTGTACTCTACCCGGCCTTTGTAGGGGGTTAGTAATGTTTATGACCAACGGCAAGGGAAAATCTGAGCTGGACTCCAACAGAGCTCTACAGGGCTGTAAGGGGCATCTGGTTCAGTGGCTCCCACACTTTTGGGTTTCACAGGCCAATTTAAAAGGACACATCACTCACACATGCATGCACACACACACACCGGAGGGTGATAACATAGGGCCGCCAACCTTTATTCTGCAAAGGAAAATAGGAATGGTTCCTATCACAACCATTGTACAAAAGAAAGGGCATTTTAACATTCCCTAGTGTTGGAAAACACACTGTCAGGACAAAGATGAGCCCGGCTTCTGGAGGACAGTAGGCATTGTTACATCAGCGCAGGCGCATGCTCCTGAGGGTGCACTTGCGCTCCTCTCTGAGTGCTCCCCCTCCCCCTCCACCCCAGTGTCAGCAGTTTTCTCATTTTTCTGTAGAACAGGGAAAATGACTTCATCGAGGTCATTGTCAGTTTAAGGACCTGGGTTTGGAAACTGCTGGCCCGGCCCCTCCTGATGTTGGGTAAATGGGGAAACTGAGGCCAGAGAGCCTGACTTAGGGTTGCCCGCGTAGTTAGTGGTAGGTCAAGAATTCTGCCTCTCAGGATGGCTTGTATGCCACTGACTAAACACCTCCTTCCCCCGCAACTTGTTTTGTTAAACTGGGGAGTTTTGTTACATGAGGCCAGCTGATGAGAGAGAGAGAGAGAAAGAGAGAGAGCAATGTTTCTGAGCTGCTGTGGGCAGGGCCAGTTGTATTGACGAGGCCTGGCATGTCCCGGCAATGCCAGAGACAGTGCGGCTCCCCTGTCCCAGGCACTGCCTTCTGCCTGGGGTCACGGGGTGGTGAGCACAGACGCTGCTGGCACCTGCCTCCTCTGGGCCCTGCAGGGGCCACGAATCAAGGTCTGGTTTCCCCAGGATGATCCAGGAAGAAAAGGAGTCCACGGAGCTCCGTGCTGAGGAGATTGAGACCCGTGTGACCAGCGGCAGTATGGAGGCCTTAAACCTGACCCAGCTGCGCAAACGTGGTTCCATCCCCACCTCTCTGACCGCCTTGTCCCTGGCCAGCGCGTCCCCTCCGCTCAGTGGCCGCTCCACACCTAAGCTCACCTCCCGCAGTGCAGCCCAGGACCTGGACCGGATGGGGGTCATGACCCTGGTGAGACCCTCGGGGCAGTTGACGAGCAGCACATGGTCATTGCTGGGCTCTGCGTTGGGGGCTGGCTGAGGGGAGCTGCTAAGGCCTGGGAGGGCTCCCTGCCTCTCTGTTGGGGCTTCTTCCCATGATGTGTGCAGACCCCGGCATGTCAGGCCACCAAAATGTCCTTCTGGGTTTGGAAAGGGCCTGTCCTATCTTCCTGAACCCTGTCTCTTGGATAAGCACAGAATGTGTAAGAAACGCGCCCCCTGCCCATACCTCTCCCTTTCTGCCAGAGGTAGCCTTGACTTTATCAGGCCAGCTTTTTTCTGCTGTCGCATTCTCTCCAGGCCTGAGTGAGGCACTGAATCCTATCTCTCATCCTAAGACCACGAGACTCCCCTTGGGGTTAGCTTCTGGGCATTCAGAGGGTGATTCTGAGCTCACCCTTCACTCTCTCTTCCAGCCCAGTGACTTAAGAAAGCATAGGAGGAAGCTGCTGGTGAGTGCTGCCTGAGGACCCAGGTACTAATGGGTTAATTCTCCCAGGCCCTTCCCTTTTGGCCTCTCTCCTCTGGGCCCTTGAGTCTGAGTCTGGGCTCAGAGAGGCCCCAGGGTTTCTCCAAGCTCCTCTGCCTCCGTCCGGGCTGGGTAGGCAGGCCCCAGCTCTCGCCCTCTATCCCCTGACGGCTTCACTGTCTGTTCAGTCGCCAGTGTCTCGGGAAGAGAGCCGGGAGGATAAAGCCACCATAAAATGTGAGACTTCTCCTCCTTCCTCACCCAGGACGCTGCGGCTGGAGAAGCTTGGCCACCCAGCCCTGAGCCAGGAAGAAGGCAAAAGGTAAGCGGCCCTGGCCCCACCTTGAGTCTCTCTGCTGCCAGGGTCATGTCATCTCTGTTTCAAGAGAACATCTCCCTTCTCTTTGAAACACCATCATGGAAGGACATTCCCACATCTCCTTTGGTCACCTGCTCTGATCATAGCCGCCCCCCCCCCCCTTCCTGTTAAGCTCTTCCTGAGGTCTAACTTCCCTGATTCCTGTTATAATTAAAGTACATCTCTTTTCCTTCCACTCGCTCCTGGCTGTCATCCTGTAGTGCTTTGGAGGATCAGGGCAGCAACCCCAGCAGCAGCAACAGCAGCCAGGACTCCTTGCACAAGGGTGCCAAGCGCAAGGGCATCAAGTCGTCCATTGGCCGCCTGTTCGGGAAGAAGGAGAAGGGCCGGCTGATCCAGCTGAGCCGAGATGGAGCCACGGGCCATGGTCTCTGTCCGCTTCCTAGCGAATGGGTGCAAGGGGAGGGGCCAGAGCAGGAGGGTGTGCTCTGACCCAGCCTTTTCCCGCTGCCTCCCAGGGGCCAGTGGGTGGAAGGCACAGCCAGGCAGATTTCAGCTCCAGAGGGCAGCTGTTTTCCGTGAGAGCCCTGGGCTGCCTCAGGAGGGGCTGGCACCCGCCACTAGAAAGTCCAGGCTGCAGTGGGGGAAGGGGGTGGTATTTATTTGGAGTGACTTGGAAGGGATTCCTTTCTGGAGCGAGAGATTTGCCCTCTGAGGTTTCTTCCAGTTTGGAGGTTTTCTGGCATTCTCAGGGCTTTTGGGAGGAATTTCTTGGTTCTCTCTTTAGGAGCGTCAGTTCTTGATTAGAACTTATTTCTAGTATATCTGACCTGCAGGACGCAACATATCATAATGCCTAATTCTGGCCTCATAGACATTATATTCGCGTAAATGCTTGGGGAAGAGCGTTTCCACCTCTGTGCTAATATAAAGTTCTTGTACATGCTTGGCACGTGGTAGGTACATGATAAATGTCAGCTGGTTTCCTTTCCTTATTCCCCTGCCTCCTGTTTTTCCTCATCTGTTCAGTCATTTCTTTCAGCATTTATTGAGTAACTGCTGAATACAAGGTTTAGTGTTGGGTGTTGGAATAGTAGACTATTCCTTCAAGGAGCTATTATTATGCTCCAATGTAATGATAGTGATTACAGTGTAATGATAGCGATATCTTTAGGGTGTTTCTGGAACTCAGAACTCAGCCGTGGAGTGGTAGGGATGCCAGCAGTGACTTCCTCTGCTAGGTGACAGCTGGGCTGATGCCTGAAGGCTGAGTAGGAATGAGCCAAGCTAAGAGTTGTATGTGAGGGAACTGGGGTTCTGGGAAAGGCAGCTTCTGGGTGCAAGTGCTTTGTTTGCAATGGAGTCTTGTCAAAGTGGGGAAGAAAAGGGTGGGAGGCGTGGAGGATATAGATGGCTTTGGACCCCAGGCTGGTGCCAGCTCATAAGGGCCTTGAGAAGTTCCCCCAAGGCCGTGGGAGCATTGACAATTACAGGCAGGGGGACCTGATCAACTAGAAGAAAGGAGCCTTTGAACCCAGAGGCATAATTAGACCTTCTTGCACCTCAGGGAAGGTGTGAATCAGAACAGTGTATGAATCAGACAGTAGCTAGCTGGGTGAGGGGGAGGAGGAAAGGCAGACACCTTTCCCCTGGGAGGGGAATGAGGTGGAGCGCCCCGCCCCCAGCGCACAGGGGTGCAGGGAGTAGGGGAGCTGGCCACAGATGGGGCTGGGAGGGAGTCAAGAAGGTCTGATCTGTGGAAGGGGCATTCTGTGCGAAGTCTCATGGTTTTCTACACTCCCCGCAGCACAGTGGCACCTAAGATAGCATGTCACCTTGTTTTCAGGATTATCCACACCCACTGCTGTCCGTGCTGCATAGAGTGACCAGAACTTAATGAATTCTAAGATGTTGCCCCTGCCGTGAGCTCTGTGGGTCTGTTCAGGAGATCCTTATAGAAGAAGACAGAGCTGGGAATGTTCCCTTTTGTGGTTTGTGCAAGTGTGCCCCCTGAGACAGAGGCTGGGAGGCACATCTCTTAGTGTGCCCATTTCCCCACCCCAGCTGGATCAGGCTAATTCTCTGAGCCCGTAGCCCACTCGTGTGGCTCTCTGGGTTTCCTTCGCAACCCCGTTTGAAGGAGGGATGCATTCTGTCTAGGTTTTCGTTGCTGTAAGGGTGTGACAGCTTGGGTCCACTGGGCTGGAAAATGCCTCCAGGGCTGGGACTCCCAGGGCAGACTCTCTGGGCTGGTTGACCCATTTGATGCCATTGTGGGGCTGCCTGGATGTAGGGACATCGAGCGGAAGCTCCAGGAATACTGGATGGTCCCATGAGGCCTCTGGGGTTGCTATACACTGAGGTTGCTATACAGCTGCTGGTCTGCTCCCCAATCCTGGCCGAGGGCATGGGAGGAGAAGGAGAGGGCCTGGCCGACATGATACCTCTTCCCTTCCAGTTATGCTGACAGACTCCGAGCTTGGTCTGCAGGAGCCCATGGTGCCTGCCAAGCTGGGAACCCAGGCAGAGAAGGACCGGCGGCTGAAGAAGAAGTAAGAGCCACAGGCCAGGCTCTGCCGGGGTGGCATCCAGCCCCTCACCCACTTGGCCTGTCACGGGACTGAGCTCAGACAGCCAGAGCCTAGCAAGGCCCTTTCTGAACTGAGCTGGCCTGATCTACATGGGCACATCGGGGGCTGGGTGGTGATTCTTAGGACAGCCCGCTGGGAGAAGGAGGCTGGGGGGCCGTGGGAGAGTGACCCTGGCCCTGTGGGTCCCTGGCAGAGCAGACGACAATGCCTATGGGTCAGGCCATGTGCAAAGTAAGAGCCTCCCCTTGCCATGTGGGGATGGAGGGGACTTCCTGCCCCATGTCTTGGTGTCATACTGCTTCAGGCATGGAGCAGGGGTGGTGACCCAGTGTGGGGGAGTAGCGTTGTGGGAGTCGCACTCAGCACGGCCACAGTCTCAGCAGCGAGCATGGTTGAGAGCCAAGGAGACACTTGTGAGTCTTTTGTTCCTCTCTCCCCAAGACACCAGCTGCTTGAAGATGCTCGCAGGAAAGGCACGCCCTTTGCCCAGTGGGACGGCCCTACTGTGGTCTCCTGGCTGGAGGTAAGTCTGGGCAAAGGGCGCCTTACTCAGAGGCCCGGTGGTAAGGGTGGGACAAAGATTCCTCTGTAGGTAGAGGGGTGGTGTCCCTCGAACTTCCCCAGCCTGTTTCTCCCCTGCCCCGTGCACATGTGCCACACCTGGCATTTAGCCTCATGCCCTTCCCCAGCAGGTGCACCTACCAGTTACTTTGGGGGGCAGAACTGATGCCATTTACCGATGATGTCTTGCAAGCAGCTTGGGTTGGACAAGGGGAACTGAGCGTCACCGAGCCACAGGCTTCCACGGGCAATTTGACTCTTCCCATAGGCTGTCCCCAGGAGCTAAGCACCCATATGATGTTGGGAACATCTCCTATTCTCAGGCCTCAGATTTTCCATCTGTAAAATGGGAAAGAGAGGCATTTGGTGATTGTCAGCTCCACATTTCTAAGTTCTCTTGCTCTGCGTTTGCTATTTTGAGTCCGTGGAGGAGGCCTGGCCCTACCCCCTTGGTACTATCAAGCTCTTGGCAGTGGGGCCCAGATCTTGGGGGAAGGAGCTGAACTTATCCCCCTGTCCGTATCTGCAGCTCTGGGTGGGGATGCCTGCCTGGTACGTGGCAGCGTGCCGGGCCAACGTCAAGAGCGGGGCCATCATGTCGGCCCTGTCAGACACAGAGATCCAACGCGAGATTGGCATCAGCAATGCCCTGCACCGGCTCAAGCTCCGGCTGGCCATCCAGGAGATGGTGTCGTTGACCAGCCCCTCTGCCCCGCCTACCTCCAGGACGGTGAGTGGCCTCTCCCTCACCTGGGAGGTTTTCAGAAGCCCTGGAATGGTATTTGCAAAGTTTCCCATTGGTCTTTGGGAAAATAGTAGCTTGATTCCTGCCCTTTACTTCCAGTCCCCTCAGAGGGCTCCACTTGATCTCCAGGAGGGGCTGACGTTCATTCCAGAAAGATCCCAGAGGCCTGGTTCTCTGCCCTACTCAGTCAACAACCACACATCTCTGGGCAGTTTCCAAGACAGGGCTTCTGGGGTTCGTGTTGCTGGATTCAGGGAGGCAGAGGGGATAGGGCATTTGTGCCTTCTGTCCTGGTGTTCCGAGCTCTCCACAAGAACGCAGTCTACTCCGTGAACCCGCAGGGTACAATCTTCTATTACTACCTGTCTCTTGGATTGGGATCAGCTGGTGTTCCAGATCTGTACCACTCATTCATATCCCTTCAGGAAAAGTCTGTTGAGCATTTCTTGGTTCCAGGCACTGTGTCGAGTGTGGATACAGTCATACAGGGGTTGCTCTGAGCCACACAGTACACAGGGCTGGGGGCTGGGCCTGTGGGAGGACTCCGGGGAAGGGATATTTGTCCTTGCCTTTGGGGTTCCCAGCCTCAAGGGGATCTTGGGGACCCACACGCAGGACCAGCTAGCTAGGTTTCCTCTCTGCCTACAGTCTTCTGGAAATGTGTGGGTCACGCATGAAGAGATGGAAACTCTGGCAACACCCACCAAAACAGTGAGTCTGGCCCTGGGCCCGGGCTTAGGGCTGATGATCCCCACGAGGATAAAGGGGAAGGTTTGGGAAGTCAGAGGGGGTTGCAGCCGATCTATCGTGAGATTGGTATCCTTGATGTACGTTGGGTTCTGTTCTCAGGGTGGTGGGTTGGGGAGAAAGAGGTGGGAATGAGAACAGCTTCTGTGTGTTGGGGGATTCATCCCGGGGGGTCTCCAAGGCCACTGGGGAAGAGCTGGCCTTGGGAGTGCTGTGCCCTGCTGTGGGCCACAGAGTCCTTGCCTTGTGCTGATCCTCGGTGGAGGAACGGGGAGTGGGAGTGCCTGGCCCCTTGTGGGGCTGTGAGCCAAGCCAGGGAGGTGTGGGAGCCTGTTTTTGCCACACATACATTTGCTCCCCCCTCACTACAAACATGGGCACATGCACCAGCCTTTATATTCTCACCTGACCATCCCAACAAGCTCTCCTAGTCACCCTCCCAGCCACTGGTGTGTCTGCTCCCTCTTCTCAACGGGGCTCAGGGTAGATGCTTCTGGGTTCCTTGACTTTGCCTGTTTCCCCTGACATGCTGCACTGGTTCCTGCTAGGACAGTGAGGAGGGCAGCTGGGCTCAGGTAAGACCCCCTTCCCTGTCCGGAACCACTGCCCAGGAGTTCAGGACAGTATTTTCCCAACAGGCTCTCTGCCCAACAGGACTCCCTGAGTCCCAGTCTATTTTTGTCCCTCTTCTCATGAAAAGCCCTGGACAGGTTTCTCATCCCGCTAAAGCACCCTCCCTCCTCATTGCCCCGTAGCTTCTGGTTTCTCAGGATGGCAGGTATGGAGTCTTGGAGGGTGTGCTCCCAGCATGCCTGCCTCTTCCCCTCTCTTCCTAGGAACCCGGAGACTGAGATTGGTACAAACCCTCTTCCTTGCCCCATCCCTTTCAGGGGGCACTGCGGTGATCTGGGCAAAGACCTTTTACTCATTTGCTCAGTGGGCAAATATTTTATTGAGCAGTGCTATGGATCAGGCCTTTCTAGGCTCTCTGGATATAGAAGTGGACAAACTAAGTGCCACAGAACTTAGATTCTAGAGGAGAGATGGGCCGTGAGCACATAAACCCATCAGTGAACAGTCTGTCACATGGATCTCCGTGCCGTCAAGCAGCACAGGGAAAGCCATCAACTGGGGCCTGGGCAGATTGTAGCGTATATTCACAGAGTAAAATAGTCAGCAGAGGAGATGGATGAATTTTAGAAATATAATATCAAGTGAAAAATCCAAGTCCCAAAAGATTCATAGAATTTTATACTAAAACTCAAAAACAAGCAAACTTAATATGTTTCTTAGAGAAATACGCATTGGTGATTGTTAAGACTGTAAAAATTTGTTTTCAAGCAAGGGCGTGATAGATCACGCAGCACAGCAATTACCTCTAGAGGGGCAGCAGGGGGCCGGACGGGGAAGGACAGTGTAAGGTGGACGCAACCATGTGGTAACGGGGCTGGTGTCCATCAACGTTAACTTCATTCATTTCTGTTTAACAGCAAACATATGCTATGTTGATTTTTATGTGTCTAACGTTTTCATTTTAAAAGATAAAATAAGTTTTTCAACCTCAAAACATCAAGTAGGGTAAGGAAACAGAGTGACGGAGGGTTGTGTTCATATGGTCTTTCTAAGGATAGGTGGCCAGGGAAGTCCCTCCTATCAGTGGGAGGTGACAGCCAGACAGAGCAGGTGGGGAGGGTCACCGGGCCATGTAGGGTGCTTGAGAAAGCATCAGACAAGGGGCCCTGGGGAATTCCTGGAGTGGACACCAGACCTCAGAGAACGGAGTGCTTGCTGTTCAGATGGTATCCATCAGCCTGTAGCTTTTGGCGTCGTTAGTCAATATGTAACTCTTCTGTAGATGGGTGAGCCAGTTTCCCAAGTGAGACTAGCTTTTTTTTTTTTGCTGTTCTGTGGGTCCTCTGTAACTTGGCCTGTCCCCTGGGTGCAGTGGGCTGAGAACCAGGAAGGCAGGTCTGCCACACAATACCACAAATGCGTTCCTGAGTCGACAGGAAGGACTTCATATTATCTGCTGCCTGGATAGTTGCTTCTGTTCATTAGTGTAGATAATTGATCCATGAGTGGAACCATATCATTCTGAGATCTTAAAAAGTTCCATTTAAAATCCCCACCTCCTACCACTCCCAGCTTCTTAGTGAAAATAACCTGCCGTGGAGGATGGAGTGATGTTTCTCTCAAGTAGATATGCCAGCCGCGGCTCGCTGGCACTGCCTTCCTCGCCTACAGCTCCTCTGCCTTGTTTCCCCAGACCCTGGCCTACGGGGACATGAACCACGAGTGGATCGGGAACGAATGGCTGCCCAGCCTGGGGCTGCCCCAGTACCGCAGCTACTTCATGGAGTGCCTGGTGGATGCTCGCATGCTGGACCACCTCACCAAGAAGGACCTGCGCGTCCATCTGAAGATGGTGGACAGTTTCCACCGGTGAGCAAGGCTAGAGCCCGGCACGGGTCTCCCCCCAGCCCCGGGGGCCTGTCTCTGGGAGTATGGGTGCCTCCACGTGACCTGTCTGGGCGCCAGGAGGCCTCTCCCTTGCGAAAGCCAGGTCCTTGTCTCCTTCTGCAGTTTGAAGGGGGGTTCCGTCCTCTCACCTCCAGCCCTTAAGACACAGAAAGTCAGTTTTCCTTAGCTTCACTTTCTGGGAGAGTGCCCCTCCTGGCTCTGAATGTCATTTCTCCGGGCTTGCCGCGTTCTCTCCGTTTTCCCTGGGAAGCCACCCCCTGAAACCAGTGTCCACTTTAGGTGTTTAAGAGGGAGGGTCTTTCTGGGCCCTTGTCCTGCCTGCACCCCAGATCTGAGCTTCTCTGCGTTGAGCCCACGCCCTTTTATCCAGGACGCCATCCAGTTCTCTCCTCCCCCTCGCGCAAAAGGTCTTCTGTTCACAAGTGTCTGTGGCAGGGGTCTCCAACTGGCAGCCCGTGGGCGGCGTTTGGCCCACAGATGTGTCGTGTTTGGCTGACACGGTATTTTAAAGATTATGAGTTTAGTTGCCAGTATTCAAACACGAGGAGATTTTACACAAGATTCTGGATGTCTGGCTCCTCTGAAAAAAAATTGGAAAATGTGTCGATACATTCCAGCCTGGGGACAGCCAGCTGGGGCTGGGGGCGGTGGCGGCCCTTCGGAGACAGGTAGACGCAGGCTCCAGGGCCCGCTTCACTCATTGCATTCCGTGCTCGACCCCAGTAGGCACTTGGGGTGGGAAGCAAGGTGGGTGCTGAGGTTCCAGGGGTCAAGGGTTGTTAGGAAGTCAAATCGCACAGGTCGCTGTTTGAGCCCCGTTCTTTGTCTTTTACCTTTAATTAATGCCTACACCGCCCCGCAGGAGAGGTATGAGCCCATCTCATGTGTTCTGAGTGCGACGCAGCTGGAAGGTGGCACAGCTGGCGTTCCAACCCCGGCGAATGAGAGGGTTATGGGACAAATGTTGGGGCTGGGAGCGTGTGGCTTTTCTAGCTTCTCTTGGGGCTCCTTGAATGTCCCTTGGTCTCTCTGACTCATAAACCATGGAAGGTTAAATGCATGAGGGATCTAGTTAACCTCCTCATTTTATGGATGAGGAAACTGAGGCACAGGAAGGAGCATCTGGGATGACAGCTGAGTGCAAGTCTCCTGACACCAAGTCTGGCCCTCTTGCCACCACACTGCAGAGCCTTCGATGCTGGAACTTTCTACTGTGATCTCCCTTGCCATCCCCCACCCCTTCTCAGGGCTGAAAGAGAATCTTCTATCTTGGTGGGTCCGGGAGGCTGCCGGGCCTGGCTGCACCTGTCCCCTTGTCAACGACTGATAGGGCTGCGGAGAGAAGGGCCACTGCCCTGCCAGCTGGGATGTCCCTGGGCCGCTGGAGGATCAGTCTGCTCGGCCCCACCCAGCATTATGGAAGTCTGCCTGGCGACCCTCTGCCCAGGCCCCAGGAGAGCCTCAGCCTGCATTCATCGTTCCAGATTCAGCTCCACATCTCGAGTATTTAAGGGATCCTAAAGCACATCCACGTCCTTTGCTTCAGCTATGTGTATACCTGCTTTTATTCCACCTAACATTCCATAAAGCGTGTTCTTACGTCTTTAAAAATTATTTTAAATCATAATTACTATGATGAGAAAAAGATATTTCAAAACTCTCCTTTTAATGGAGTGTCACCAGGTCCCTCAGCCAGGTGGTTACAGAATGGGGCCAATATCCTTTTTTCTTCACACCTAACTCAGCGCTTTTCCCTGAAAGCGTAGTGTTCTGTTGAGCAGTTTTCCTAGAGAGGTGGCTGTTCAGAGGAGAAGCAGCACACACAGCATCAGGAATGTTCTTCTGACGGTGGAACCATTGCTGAGTGCCCGGATGTTCCAGGGACTGGGCTAAGCCCTTCCACGCGTGATCACCTATAAGGCGCACGGCAGCCCAGCAGGAGAGGGGGGACCTCATCTCACGTGTGCCAAGGGCCACCAGGCTGGGGAGTGGCCCAGCTGGCATTTAAACCCAGGTTGATCTGACTTTAAAGTTTTGCTCTTCTATGCAACAGCTTTGAAAGTCGTAGGAACCGGACTGAAAATTATAGCCCGCGGGATTGGAAGGAGACAAAAGGCCTTTCTAGTTAGGAGCTGCGTGTGCTCCTGCCGCCTCCCGCGGACCCAGGCTTAAACCAGTGGCTGGAGCAATGACTGGGTGCCTTGGGCCAGAAAAGAATTCCTAGAACTGGTGTCTGTGAGCCGTGAGGGATTGTTCGAGGCAGCAGGGCTGCCTGGGTAGAGCTGAGGGGGGAGAGAAGAAGGGAGCCAGCAGCAAAACTTAATTTCACAAAGCAGTGGCCACAAAATAGAGTTTGGAGGGAACGTCTGTTCCTCCATGTGATAGATGACAAAACCCAGAGAGGCTGTATGACAAGTGGTGTTCAAGTTAAGGTAGGACATTACTATGGAAGTTGCCTGCGGTGGAATGAGCTGCCTCAGGAGGCAGTGAGTTCCTTGTCATCAGAGATGTCAGGCCCAGGTGTTCATACTACTCAGAAGGATGGTACACAGGTGACACCTGCATGAGATAGGAACTTGGACCAGTGGCCTGGGGGGTCCCATCTAACCTGCAGACTCGATGGTTCTTGGTCTGGCTTAGTTATTATGTATTGAATGCTTACTATGCACCTGGTACTGTTTAAGTACTTTTAACACTTTCTGTGAACCATTTCATTTCATTCATTAAGCATTTATGGTGTTCACTAAGTACCAGATGCTGTTCTAGGGGTTTGAGAAATATCAGTGAACAAAACAGAGTTGCCCTCGTGGGGTTTACATACTCACTGGGAGGGATAGACAAGGAACCATATATATATTCTATATATAAAGTATGTGAACAGATAAAAAGTCTAGAAAAAAAAATAGACCAAGGTTAGACCAGGATAAGGGGGATTGGGGGTATGGGCTGGGGGTAGTGATGGTGGTGTTGCAGTTTTAAATCAGGTGGACAAGGTGAGCGTTGAAGTAAGAAGATGACATTTGTGCAGAAACTTCGAGGAGACAGGGGGTGAGCCATGCAGCAGATTAGGAGAAGAGTGTTCCAGGCAGAAGGAACAGCTAGTGCAAAGGCCCTGAGGCACATAGGCTAAGTGTGCCTGCTGTGTTTGAGGAAGAACAGAGGTATCACTGTACAGGGGCAAATTATGTAGCACGTGTAGGTCACTGTAAGGACTCTGAGTGAAATGGCAATACAAAGAAATATCTGTACGGATCTTTCTGTAGGATCCTGTTTTTATGGGTCAGATATCTGTAGGGTCATTCCAGTGCCTGGGGTGAGAGGGGGAATGTTGTTTCATTCAAAGAATTTCTATCAGTCAGGCCAACATCCTGGCCAAGAGGGAGGACATGGGGTAGGCAGAGGAGGGGAAGTAGTTTTGGGCTGGATCACACGCAAGCCCTGGGAAAAGGAGGAGGGTGAGTGGATTGGGGTGCTTTTTGTGCTGGAAGACGCAGGCCTGGACATGCTGTGGCCAGTGCTGGATGTAGGACAGAGGTGGCAGGAATGTGGCCCCACTGAGGCTCTGGCTCAGGGGGGCTGTGTACCTGCAGAACCAGTCTTCAGTATGGCATCATGTGTCTGAAGAGGCTGAATTATGACCGAAAGGAGCTGGAGAAAAGGCGAGAGGAAAGCCAGCATGAGATCAAGGGTAAGCTTAGCAGGCTCAGCGTGCTTCCTCTGAAAGACATGGGAGCAGCCTTGGGGGAGCAGATGCCTGCCTCCCTGCCCCCTGCCCTGGGTGAGTGGGGGGAGAGGGGGCATTCTGTACCTCAGGGAGCCTCCAAACCTCCGGGGAGCTCAGGTGTGTGATGAGGGAGACATAGTCCATGCGCAAAGGACGTTGTCATCTGGTGAAGAAAAAGCCCTGCCCAGTCACCTGTAACCCCACCCTACCCCCTGACAATGGCCACCACCAGTGAATCCCCTTGGACTGGCATGGGCTGGCATGGGAAAGTGCTCACAGAACTTGGGTGACCTGGGTGGCACTGGGCAGGAAAGAGAGACAAGTCTTAGAATTCTCTTCCAAGGTGGAAAATAAGAGGACCGTTCCTGCCTGGGGGCAGGGGGCGGCCCAGCCAAGGGCTCTGGGGAGAAAGCCAGGAGCCTGCTGGCCTGACCCTTGAGTCCTACAGGCTGGCAGGGATGGAGGGAGGTGGTGCTGGTTCTCCAGGAGCCCAGGTGCCAGGGAGGACAGAGAGGAGACAGAAAGCAGGGTTGACTGGAGCTCTGGGTCCAGGGAAGCCTGTTTTGGTCCCTGGAGGGGGTGTGGCCACACCTACGGTCTCTTCCTAACCCTTTTCTTGCCCCGCCCTCCAGATGTGCTGGTCTGGACCAACGACCAGGTGGTTCATTGGGTCCAGTCCATCGGGCTCCGGGATTACGCAGGAAATCTGCAGGAGAGCGGTGTGCACGGTGCCCTGCTGGCCCTGGATGAGAACTTTGACCACAACACACTGGCCCTGGTCCTCCAGATCCCCACACAGAACACCCAGGTGGGCATCCTTGTCACGAGTCAGTCTTAATCACAGCCTCCCCCTCTGCCTGACTCTCCGGCTCTACCCCCTGCCCACACGTACAGGTTTACAGATTTGTTGGGGGTCTGTTCTGGGGCCTGTCTATGAGGGGATCAGAGTGTCCTCAAACCTCCAAGTGATCCCTGTGCATAACTAGGCCACCTAGGGAGCAAGCATCCTTTACATACAGCACACCTAGCCCGGGCCCAGAATGCTGTTAATCCCCGCCCAACCCCATCTTTGCATTTGACACTCTTCTTTAATTTTTATAAATAATTTATTTTTAATGTAACTTAGTGTCACGTTGGCTAACAGACAGTGTATACAGTGAGCTCTTGGTTTTGGGGTTAGATTCCCTTGGTTCATCACTTACATACAACACCCAGTGACACTGTTTTTTCTCACTCTGCTTGTCTGACCTGCCTTTTCTTAGGGGAGAAAAGGCCTGGGGTCTGAAGGGATCAGAGCGCCCATGTCTCCTTTGTCTCCCACCCCAGAGATCTGCTCCTGGGCTCCGAGGCTTGAGAAAGCTAAATATGCTAAATAACACAGCCCAGAGCCTCTCTGTGCCAGGCGTGTGTCTCCCTGTCAACAGCTCAAATGATTAGACATCTCCTTAAATTACAGTTCATAATTATTAGGGAGCTGTCATCCAAGACTGTATGTAAACTCTCTTGAACTTATTTATGTGTTTGGCCTTTCTCGTTTTTTGTGGGTAATGGACTCCAGAAGTACTACTACCTGTTGTGGTTAGTGCTTCCTGATTTTATTTGTCCCAAATTGTGCCCCCATCAGGCTCCCCCTGGGGAAGGGAACGGCCTCATCCTAAGTTACTAGGTTTGGTGAGGGTATGTGTATTTGACCCGTCCTCACCTTTTGTGATTTCATAAACCCTGATTGTGTTGCCTCGGGGCTCAAGCCTTTGTCTTTCCAGACGGAGTGGTCTTAATTCTTTTAGGCTTTCCTCATATAGACTCGCCTCCGTGCCCTGATCATTTTAGCCGCCCCTGTCTGGACTGGTTGCAGCTGTCAGGTCTCTTGAAATTCAGCCACTAGAGCCGCACAAGCTATTCCGGGAGCAGATGCATTTTGGCTCGTGTGAGGGTAGGGCTGTGTGGTCCTGTAATGCCAGGCGGCGTGTTGGCCTCTGGGGGATTTGGCAGCATATGGGGCCGGTGTGTCCCATAGGCTCTCGGCAGTGACCCCTCCGACTGGTCGGAATGGAGTGCACAAATCCCCAGTTCTCTCTCTCTCTCTTTTTTTTTTTTTTTAATTTTTAATGTTTTTATTTATTTCTAAGAGAGAGAGAGACAGCGTGAACAGGGGAGGGTCAGAGAGAGAGAGGGGGACACAGAATCTGAAACAGGCTCCAGGCTCTGAGCTAGCTGTCAGCACAGAGCCCGACGCGGGGCTTGAACCCACGAACCATGAGATCATGAGCTGAAGTTGGAACTGAGCCACCCAGGTGCCCCATCCCCTGTTCTCTAAGAAGAGCTGGGATTCCCCTCCCCCTACACAGTTTTTCTGTACACGCCCACCTCCAACCTCATCTGCTTTCTCACCTGCTCTCACAGCTCTGGGACATGTTTCTGATGTTTGTAAGTGTCATCCTCACCTTTCACTACCCAGAGGAGCAGTGTCATCTGGATACTTGGAAATGTATTATGCTTCTCCTTTCCCATCACTTTATGAGAATATTACGTTCTCAACACTGACGGAGACAGTCCGTATGAAGCGCCACAGTTAGCATTTCCCACCCGGAAGTGGGCTTGTTATTCTCTGTCGTTTGTCTCCTGTCTCTAAATGTGTCCGGGTTTGTGGCTAGTGATGTATTTGGAAAGAACAGCAGGAGACCCCTCCGGTGCTTGCTCAACCTTTCTGCTTTTCACGACTCTTGCGTTTAGCTCCACTATGAGAGGAAGTGGGAGCTGACCCAACGTGGAATTCTTCATCAACAGTGGTTACAAATATCTGGGGGCAGTTTTTCTGAAAACTTCATTGTTTTTGGCGTTTCCAAATCACCTGCTGGGTAAGGCTCCTGGGAGGCTTAGTGAAGGCCTGTACGCATAGTCAGTCCAAGGGCCACCGAGGTCTGTGATGTAGCCGTCCTCCTAATTTAAATTTTTCATGTGGAGCCTTATCAAATACATTTCTTTAATCTCAATAAGCCAAATCCTTTTTATTCGTGGTCTACACGCTCATTTATCCCTTGAGAAAGGTAGTAAGGCAGGATTTTCCCTCATGAACACAATATGGGGTTTTCCCCCAGTAAGGGAAGCCTGTGCACTCATGTGTTCTGTGGTCCTACTTTGTACAAAATTACTGTTTCCTAATGTGCTCCATATGAAAGAATGCTGAGGTTTACAGTGTCGGTTCCAAGGGGGCTCTGAGGTTTGCTTGAAGCAGCATCAGGGCTCACGGGTTAAATGCACTGAAAACCCCATCTCTGTCCTCGGGCCCTGCCGGGAGCCGCACCGGCCTCTATGGATGGCAGTCACAGCAAGGAAATGGCAGTGTTTGCACAGCTACTGCCATGAGAAATGAAAACTGGTATCTCCTGCTACTACTGGCTCATGTTGTGCTGGTATTGACCAGGCCTCACAATATTCCATATCAGACCCATATTCTGAACACAGATACCTCATAAGGAAAAGCATATTCCTGCCTTTACAAAAGAGATTCTAGATGAAAGCTCTACGGATGATTGTCAAAAGGCTCTTCCTGAGGGCCTTGCAGATCCAAGACTTAGGGGGTTAAGAACACAAGAGTTACAACTGAGCCTGGCCCCGAGACAAAGAGCCTAATTTAGAGTTAAGGTACAGATAAGGGCAGAACTTAAGTTAATACTTACACCTTCTCCTAATTGGTGATGTAGGGCAGTCCCTTCCCCGAGGCCTACTTTCTGCAAACACCCTCCCTTACAGGCGGCTGGGATGAGGATAGATAAGAGTAGCTAAAATATTACCCACAAACAAAAGGCTGACACTTTTAGGGCCTCCATGGTGTTCACACATTCGACATCAAATAGGTTTCCACAAACAACTTATTAACCAACTCAAAAACACACATTTGAGAGTCAGACAGAATGACTCTTAGCCCATCTATACACTTAACCTATGATCTAACCTTAGGGTTATTAACTTAGAACACATATGTATCCTGTCTTTTACTAAGAATACCCTGTTAATTCTTTAGTTATAAGATTTACTTAACCTCACTATAATTGGAATAGTTCTGCAAGAATATTTCTGTAAAACCTGCTTCTGTACACTTTCCAAAGCATCTTATCACAAAGAGCTACCCATTGTAAAAATTCCTTTTTCTGATGTCATGTTATCATTTAACCTATAAATAAAGACACCAAAACCGACAGGACAGAGATGCCTGCCTGGTGATCAGAAAGGATCTCGGGGCTCTCTCATTCTCTTTCGCCGACACCGTCCATCCTTCAGGGACCCCTGGACCCGTCGGAGCCGGCGCGGCCTCCGGCAGGGCCCCGATAAAACGGGAGCAAGATGGCCTAGAGGTCATTGACTATGCCCCTCCCACCTCTCCCTCTTGTACCTTCTAGGCACGCCAGGTGATGGAAAGAGAGTTCAACAACCTGCTGGCCTTGGGCACAGACCGGAAACTGGATGATGTGAGTACTTGGCTATAAATTAGGGGCCTTTGGATTTGGCCATTGTTGGTTAGTTGGGTTGAAATTCCTGTTGTGCCTTCCTTGGGCCCATCATTGGTGGGGTGGCCTAAGGGAGAAGAGCTCGAGGGAATGTGGATGGTGTCAGGGAGTTGGGGAGGGGGGCAGGGTGAGGCCTAGCACCAGGCCTAGAGGAGTCTCCATGAAATTCCTTGTACAAAAACTAAAGACTTCTATATGTTGTACTTCTAGCATCTTCCAACTCTGCCCTGCCACTGTCCTAACCACGCAGGATCAGAGGTTCCCGGATAGGCCATCTCCTTGGGATCATGCCTTTTTCTCCATTTCTCAGACCCCATATCTCAGTGCTATTGGCACAGCATGACCCCAGCCTGCTTTTTAGGATGCCCATCCTGTCACAGTGTGGTGGTTTGGAGGCAGGTTATGCTGAGGTCCTTGAACGACAGGCTTGCTCGCTTGTTCCGCAGTGCAGTTTGACACACTGGCTTGGACGTTTACTATCACTGCCTCCTCTCCAGTTTTACTCCTGAGTTACCTTCATACCACGTTAATATCCTCATCTCTTGGCCTCTTCTTGGTTCTATGAAAAAACAGCCTTTCACCTGGGTTTTGTCAGCCTGTCCCTTGAGTTTAGGCTGGACTGTGTCCCCCAAGACCTGGATGTCCTGAGCTCTAATGCTCCCATTGGAGATGCCTACCTGTTACCTGGTTACCTGTTTCCTGAGGGTGCAGCCCCCTCCTCAGCCCTCCTCTCTCCTTTCCCTCCCTTCTCCCCCTCCTTTCTTCCTCCTTCCCTTCCTCCTTACTCTCGTTTGATCACCAACCTTCTTTGCTTTTGCTGGTCGGGTCCGACTTGGCTGTCTTGGCTCCAAACAAGTTAAAAAAGAGCCCAGATTATTTATTTTTAGCTTCTGCATCTTCAATCCGATCTAGTTCTTCTGATCTCTGTTGTCTGTGTAACTTCCCTCTCTACACACCCCTTTCCCAACCAGTTTAGACTAGTGGGCCTCTTTTTGGGGACACCATTAGTGTCACCTACCTATCAATTAGTTTTTCTTAGTTGGGTTGGCCAGGGCTAAGATCCACCTTTGTGGAATGATTGCTCTGCTTCAGTAGATGGGACACGCTCAGGATTACCCGGAATTTGTGGAGGGGTGTGTTCTTCACAGAGGAACCTTGAAATATGGAGTGTGTTATTATTTATACACACATACATTATATATATGTATAATCACACACACACGTACACACGTGTGTACATGTGTACGTATTCCTGTCAAGGAGATAAATTGCCAGACCCCACCAGCTGTCCCCACCCTCAGAGGTCTTAATTTTCCCAGTGCCCCTGCCCTGGGGACCCTCCTCTTATTTCCCACCCACCTAGGGTCTTTACCTTCTTGGATGCTGTTTAGAAAAATGACTCCTATATGTCTTAGTGCAGTGCTTTCTAGTTAGAAAGCTGTTTATTCCTTCAAGCCTTATAAAAACTTTCTTAGTGGTGACAGGCATCTCATTTTATGCTAACAGTAGTCATGTGGGGCAGGTTACCATCCCCTCTGACTGATGAGGAATTAAGCTCAAAGAGGTAACTTACCTTCGGTCACAAGGTGATACATGGCAGACTAGGACTACAGCAAAAGTGTGCCTGATCCCTGATCTCTCCCCCACATCCTGCTGCGTCCTAGAAGCATGTGGAGCTAGCCAGCCCCTCCAGCTTCAGACACCAGGGTGGGGTTACTGAGGAGGTGATGTCATCTTGGCAGCACAGCGGGAGTGCTGGGATGCCGCTAGGTGTGGGGCTGCAGAGGACTGATTCTTGCAGGAAGCATAAAGTTGAAGGCCAGGTTCTGGGAATAAGGCAGGATTTGGTGGTGGTGGGCACAGGGGAGGTCAGAGATCCAGGGAAACTGCTTTCTGTCTAGCCATCTAGCACAGCGTCAGCAACCTTGAGCTGTCTCTTGTTTCCTCTGTCAATTCTGGTTCTCAGTTTCTCCTCTCAAGCTTCAAGACCCTGAAGGGCTGCATCCAGCTCTCTCCTTACATGGGGAGCAGGACTCAAGGAAAAAGAGGAGGGGAGCAGGAAGAACATCTGTTAGGGGTCAAATGATACAGAAATCTTACGGTTGGCTGAAGGTGGAAATGGAGAGGGGGGGGGGGGAGGGAGACAGAAAGAGAGAAACCACTCTGGGCTAGATTAAGGGTAGGATCATGGGCCAGACAGAAATGATGAGGAAAGTTCATGATGAACTCAGGGATGGGACGCCTGCATAGGAAGCCAGCTGCCATCCATTCATTTAACAAATATTTATTGAGTGTCTACAGTGTTCCCGAGCACTACCCTGGGGCTGGGGACGCATTAGTTGGAACTAAAAAGATTATGGTGTCTGTGCCATGGAGGGCAGAGTTTGACGGTGAGAGGGAGAGAGATGAGGGAGGGAAGTGGAAAGAGGAGAGAGAGAGAGATTAATAGAATACAGTAAAATCTTGGTTTTCAAGCAGAATTTATTCTGGAAACATGCTTGTCATCCAAAGCACGTGTATATCAAAGCAAATTTCAAGAACCACTGGCTCAGTTGTGATCACGTGACTTTTGGTGTCCTGTACTACTCTGTTGCCAGACATTGCTTGTTTGTCAAGTTAAAATTTACTAGAATTGTTTGCTCATCTTGCGGAACACTCGCAGAACAAGTTACTCTCAACCCAAGGTTCTACTGTAATCCCAGAAGTACATGACAAAATGACACCAGCGGGGGTGCTGGGACAGAGGTACGTGGTGCCAAGAAGTGGCAGATAGGAGGCTTTGGCTCCTTAGTGCACAAGCAACAAAGGGGCTTAGGGCTGGGGTGTTGTTGAGGCCAGAACTGGTAGGTTCGTGTCTCCCGTTCCTCCCGCAGCTCTCTGCCAGTACAGTTCTGAGAACACCATTGGCTTGGGGGTGGGGGGCGGGGGAGATTAGACATGGCTGCCAAGCAGGGTGGAAGTGAGCTCTTCAGGATGGGATGGGGAGGCCTGTGCAGCATCCTGTAGGGTTTTGGCTCTGGCTGCCCTTTGGCAGAGACCGTTTGGAGACTCGGCTGGCAGATGGCCCACCACCTCCTTTGGAGGAGCCTGCCTCTGGTCCGCCATCCACCTGGCCCATCGCTGTCACAGAATGCTCTCACTTGATCCCATTAGGGAGAGGCAGCCTGAGAAAGAGGGCAGATAATGTTCTTCCTATTTTATGGCTACAAAAACAGAAGCTCAGAGAGGTCACTTAACTTGCCCAGGGACACATAGCTAGTAAAAATGGTAGTCAGGTCTCCTGACTCTTGGCCCGGTGCGTTTCCAGCACACCCTGGGCTGCAGCCAGAGTGAAGGCACGAGGGGTTGGGTGGGGGCTGCTCGGTGCCCCATGGTGCGAGGCTAGAACTTGAAAGGTCAGTGGGCATCCCCAGCCCAGTGTGAGATGACGGGGGTGGGCAGGGAAACAGTTCAGCTGCAGGATGGTGCCGGGTCTGACCAGAGGGGACCCCACCTCACCTGGAGACAAGGAATCTGAATCCCCCTGGACCCCTGGGCATCCTCTACTTTGGCCCCGTTCATTTTTTACTGACGACGGAAAGTCAGGGCCAGAAAGAGGAGGTGGCCTTGCTTCCCCCCCCCCCCCCCCCCCCCCCNCCCCCCCCCCCCCCCCCGCCTTCAAGTGGGACGGGAGTGGCAGCCCTAGAAGCGCCGCGCGCGCCCTTCCCGCGGGCAGGGAGTGAGGGTCTCTGCGTGTCCCGTGCAGGGCGAGGACAAGGTGTTCCGGCGCGCGCCGTCCTGGAGGAAGCGCTTCCGGCCGCGGGACCCGCACGGCGGCCTGCTCGGCGCCGCCTCGGCCGAGACGCTGCCGGCCGCCTTCCGCGTGGCCACGCTGGGGCCGCTGCAGCCGCCGCCCGCGCCGCCGAAGAAGATCACGCCGGAGGGTGAGTGCCGGGCCGCCGGAGGGGCCTGCGGGCGCCGCTGCACTAACGCTGCCGCCGGGCCGGCGGCCGGGCCTCCGCAGCGCGCGCACTAACCGCCGCTCTGTGTTCTCCCGCGGCCGCCGACTCCTCCCAGGCGGGACGGCGGGGGCGCAGAGACTGGAGCCTTCCACGGTTCGGACCTACTCCTGCTGACCCCCCTCCCGCCCCGGCTCTCCCGGGGGTGTGCCCGTGGCGCGGGGTAAGTGGGCCGGGCCCGGGCCGGACGCCCCCGCCCCGCCGCCGCCGGCCCCCGCTCGCGCGCTCCTGCCCGGCTTGCCCTGCCCGCTTCCGCCGCCGCCGCCGCCGCCCGGGCGCCTGGCGCTTGCCAGCTCGCTGTGCATGCCTGCACCCCCGACCCCCGGGGAGACTCCCAGCTCACCGCGCAATGCATCTCTCTGTCTCTCTCTGTCTCTCTCAGCTCGCTCCCACTATCTCTACGGACACATGCTCTCCGCCTTCCGGGACTAGCCACGGCCCCCAGGGCCAGCATCTGGGTTTCGCAGGCTCGGCTGGCCCTGGCCCCTCCTGCTCGTTCCCTGGTCCTCTCGCGGCTCCTAGTCTCGTCGTGACTTTCCAGTTGCCCTGGATCTCAGAATATACTCGTCCACCCCCTCGGCATCCCACTACCCTGAGTCCCACCGTGTGTCCTTTGTGAGTCTCTTGTGGCTGTGGCTGGGACTCGAGGTTGTCCGTGCTTGGGATTCTGCAGAAGGGACAGGACAGCAGCAGCCCAGGCGGGGTTGTGACTTCATCCTCCCTCTTCTGGGCCTAGCCTGGTCTGGACTGCGACCTCCACCAGATACCAGGATGCCGTGCTGAGGGCTGAGGATGGCCCTTTCAAGAAAATGGCACTTCGGACTCTGCCTTGCTCAGGCTGTTGGGCCTCTGGTCCCTGTGCACATCCCGGTTGTCTGACCTCTGGTTAGAGCACCCCCAGCATCACCCCTCTTTTCCCACCTCATCGGCACAACAGCAGCTCCTGTCTCCAGATGGTCTTTGGGGGCTGGGTAGGGCTGCCGGAAGCCCCATTATTCTTCAGATGGTGAGGCTGGGGAGGAGGAAGCCTAAGGGGGTGATTCGGGGCTCTTATGATGCATCCCAAATGTGAGCTGGGGAAGACTCTGAGAGACATGGGCCCCTGAGCTTTGGGCCAACGGTAAGGATGGGGAAACTCTCAGCCCTCACACCCCGTAAGGAGTGCAGGCAGGTCAGCTGGACAGAGAGCCAATGGCCTGTGGTAGACTTAAGCCCAAAGAGTAGTAGGCCTCCTGCCCCAGCGGTAGGGTGGAGTTGCTGCTGCGGCAGGGCTGGGGGCTTGTGTGGGGTCTTGGCTCTGGGCCAGAAGAGAGCTACCCATGCACTGTCTACTCTGCTCAGCATCCCCTCCCTTGCTCTCCCCCCTCTACCCCATTTAGTAATCCAGCTCCTAAGAATATACCCAGTGGGTGGATTGAAGATACCCTGACCTTCAAGTCAGATTTGGGAAAAACGTAGTCGGGGGTTCTCTTCCCCTGATCCCTTGGGAAGAAAATAAAGCTTCCTCTTTAGTGAGTCCAGGAGAGCCAGTGTTGATGAAGGTCCTCACTCTCCTGCTTGCCCCTAAATCAGCCAACCCTTGTTCAGGGCTCTCTTGCTGTGCAGGGCCTGCTTCCTCCAGAAATTCCTGAGACCCACCCAGCTTCCACCACTTTCATCACTTTCCTCAGCCGCACGGCGGCCGCCGGGGCTGGGGGAAACAGGTCCTGGTTTGGTTGGAATGTCATTCCCAAGAGACCCCTCTTAATCCACTTCCTCAAATCCTGCCAAAATGCCTGGACATGTTTGGGACCCAAGTTCAGGGGAAGCTGATAGAACCCAGGGCTTCATCCAAGTGAGAGGAGAGGACCCGTGTCTGGAGCATGTTTCCTGGAGGGGTGCCAGTTCCTCTCCTATAGGTGGCTGAGCAGCCGGTTTGCAACCTGATCGACTTGGGTTCCGAGCAGGGGCTCGGCGAGCAGGTGGGCTAGTGGGTCAGAGCACCCTGGCCCACAGGGGTGATGGAGCCTGGGGCAGCGCCAGGGCTCAGAGCCCTCTGCTGGTTTTCGGTAGAGCAGAGGTCCACCGGTGGCGGGGCCGGGTGGGCTCCCCCAGGTGTGGGCAAGGCGCCCACCTGCCCTTGTTTTCCCTGGTTGTTCCTTGCCCTCCCTGTCCATCAGGCAGCTGCAGATGGACCTGGAGGCGTTCTTGAGCAGAAAATGAGTTGGATGGAGAAAAAAAAGCCTCTATCCTTGGGATGTTAAGATTATGGAGAATATACTCCCCCTCTCCCCCTTGGCATCCCAGTTCCCTAAGATTGGTGGAGCTGGGGATCACAAAGCCATCTGACTGCGTCAGGGGACTTTTGATGGACCAGCTAAGTGGGAGATGCAGCCCCATCGTCTCCTCTGCAACTTGACCATGTCATGGTTGGCTGTGTACCTGGGTCTCTTCAGGGGCATCTGGGGACATATCGCAGGGAGGTGATGGACAGGAGAACTGATCCATTGAGTGATGGAAGGCTGTTGTCTTGGTGTGTCCCTTGCCTCTCAGTCCATGTATTTTTTATCTGGAGAGTCACCGGTGACCCGAAGCCCCCTCACCAGCCTCCCATATCTTGTCACTTCCCTTCTCAGTACTGTACTGGCCCAGTGCATCACGAATGGGTGTGCGGGGCCGTTGGAGTGTGAGTGTGTGCGTACCAATAAACAACCTGGTGGTTTTAAGACAACCTACACATGGCTCTGGTCTTTTTTTAACTTAGGGTTCAGCTGACACGTCCAGCTCCTTCCACAGTCCTGAGGGCCGTGCTCCTCTAGGAAGTCAACAGAGTTTTAAAAACCTACAATCAGTAACTTCTGTTTACTTACATAACCGTGGGGTTGCTAGAGGTTAGCGGTCAGGTTGTTTGTGGCAGGGGAGTTGAGGAAAAGGAGTGAGGAGCCCCGATGCTGGACCTGATTTATTCCTTCTGCTCCCTCTCTACTCACCTGGTCACACTCCCCTGGCTTGTGCCCTTTCCCCCGGCCCCCAGGGCTGCCGCTGCTATGGGCCCCCTGCTTGGGATCACCCCTGGGCTCACACTGCAGTGGCCCCCATGGCCTGTAGGTCAGAGGCCCACCCCCTCCATGTGGCATCACAGGCTGCCTGTGACTTGGCTCCGGACACCCTCCCCCCTCCCCCACCTTCTCTCACCATTCTGAGTCCGCCCACCTCAGAAACCTGTGTCCCCTCGGGCCCCATCACCAGAAGGCAGCAAGAGTGCCTCTGGCCTTTGCAGCTGCGAACCTTCCAGAGCCACCTGGAGCCTCCCCTGGGAGGCATGACCAGCCCCTCCCCGGCAGAACTGGAGAAGCGACAACCCTTTGCTCACTGGCACCCTGCAAGCCACCGAGCTGTGTGGCGTCTCTCTTTGTCTCTTCCCACACGGGGCTGTGAGGGAGCCCCTCGGGTCTGTCTTCTTGATCTCCGTATCCCCTCGCTAGACACACTCGAGAGAATAAACGAACCAACCTGATCTCAGAGGGTTCTTAGGATGATTATTAAATAAAGCCCCACACTGCTGGGGACGGTGGTGTGCCAGACGCTGTTCTAAGCATGCTCAGTGTACTCGCTCACTTGGCCCCCACAACCCTGTGCTGTGTTACCCTCGCCATCTTGCAGAATGGGAGTTTGTTAAGGCTAAGACCACACAGCTGGTGAGGGACAGACCTAGGTCCCGAAGGTAGTGCTGTGCCCTGTCCTTAACTACAACACGTATATTAAAAGTTCTGACCCGGTGCCGGGAGTGCTTCCCACTTACTAGATGTTACTTGCTTCTCTCTCTTTTTATTTTTTACTTTTTAATTTTTTTGGTACTTCTCTTTTAAGTTAGCTCAAGCCTCTGCCCCTTGGCTAAGCCTCCTGCAGCTCCCTTTCTCAAACCCACACTCATATGGGAGCCCCTGGGTGACTGCTTCCGAAGCCACACTCCTATGGTGCTCGGTCCTGTGTTCTCCTTTGGACTGTATTCCGTCTCACCTAAATTGTGAACTCCCCGAGAGCAGCATCATACAGTGTACCCTTCCCAAGGCCAATGCCGTCCCAAACACTGGTGGTACAGGATGGCAGAGTCCACGGGCGCACATGACAGGGTGTTGAGGACAAGGCAGCCCTGTGACCCAGAGAGGGCACACAGGTGAGGGAAGGTGCTGGCCTAGTGTTTACACGCCACCGGGGGGCCCACCCCTCACTCCATGACAAAAGGTAGAATCGACCAGCCTTGGTGACCAGCTGGCCACAGAATGAGATCTGAAGGAATTCAGAAAAACTTCTATTTTTGGGCGGAAAGCTGTATCCCAGTGTTGCCGTCCACTGGGATGGAGAAAGTGGAAATGAGAGTTTCCTTGTAGACCTGCTGAGTTTGAGATGAGACCCCAAAGTCATGTTTCTGTCAGCATTTGTAGAAAAGAAAGAAGATTCTCAATTTCTTGCCTGAACCCTTTCTTTGCCTCCCCTAGGAATGTTCCAGGCAGAGAGAGAGGCATAGAGCCTGGGTCTGGTTGTTGCCTATGGCTGAGGGGTGAGGCACAGCCCGGATTGCTGCCGGGTGGAGATTGGGGGTTCCCATCTGGGCCTGGACTATGGGTCCTTAGCCAAGACCCCAGCCTCACCTGGAACCTTTAGTCTCTCCTGAGTTTGAGCCACCTTTAGGCATCTCTGCCCCAGTCTGGAGCCCAGAAGCCAGGAAGTCAGACAAGTCCAAGGGGGGGTGACATCTTGGGGGTAGGGTTTTATCCATGAAACAGATACCTGAGCTGAGGAGACTCCACTCCTCTCCCTCTCCGTGGTCCCCCCCCCCTTCCTCTCCAGGTGCAGCACTTAAAATGTTTTCCACTTTGCCAGGTAGAGTACTTCGAGAAGTTAGATACCTAAGCCACAAATAGTGCTCGAGGCAACAAATAGTACTTGAAGTTCACACTAATTATCTAAACACCCTAAGAAGTTCCTGCCTATACTCTTAAAACTGGTATGCCAATTCCAAGTAATTCTTCTTTTCTTTCGAGTGCATTCCCTGGAGTTCATTGTGAGGTAACATTTGATTAACCTGGTTTGATTTATTGCAGGTACATCCACTGGAGACTGGATTGAAGCTAATTTCCCTAAATAACCATCGTTCATTATTCATTAATTGGAGTCTTATCTGTAATTTAATAGTGAAGCTAAGCATTTATTTTAAGAAAGGCCCAGTGCATCGATGACAATTGAGTATTCTGTGTAAATAACGAGTGAGGGTTGGGGCTCCCATTTGGCAGCATTTGCTATTCACACCTGTGAGATTCTAGAAGCTTGTTTCTCTGGTGGAAGGCTTACAGACTTAAAGATTGAAGAAGAGGGGCGCCTGGGTGGCTCAGTCTGTTAAGCATCCGACTTCGGCTCACGTCATGACCTCATGGTTTGTGGGTTCGAGCCCCACGTCAGGCTCTGTGCTGACAGCTAGCTCAGAGCCTGGAGCCTGCTTCAAAGTCTGTATCTCCCTCTCTCTCTGACCCTCCCCTGCTCACGCTGCCTCTCTCTCTCAGAAATAAATAATAAAAAAAACATTAAAAGAAAAGATTGAAGAAGAAATGAGTAGACAGTGGCCATCTCTGATGATGAGAATTCTTGACCCTGATGGCCTTTGCTGAGGACTGTTCATTCTTACCGGGTTATGAATTATGAACCTCAGTTTCCAGTTGACGTGACAGAGAAGAATAAACCTAACAACTATGTGCGGCCACTCCAGAGCCTACCAGCTCTGTAGTAGAGATGAGCACCCTTCATGGCCACCCCAAACCAAACCCCTCAGTGAGAAGCAAGTCAACGGAAGGTGGTGGGATTGTATCCACTCAGGTGCTTGGGAGGTGCCAGGGACAGAGGGAATGAACTTGAGGGGAGCAGATCCCCCTTGAATGTGCAGTTCAGTATTCTCAGGGGATAGTAAGGGAGTGAATGTACATTTGAGAACCAAGGTGTTGCACTCGGGCTTGTGGCTCTCCCCATCTCCAAGGGTGGTGAGGCAGGTGGAGCTAAGAGTCATAGAAATGACATCGGTATTCCTGTCCAGCCCTTCCAACGTGGTAAGACACGGTGACACAACTCGAGAAGAAAATCCCCCAGATGGGGTAGCTTAGGCCAGTTTGTAACTCCCAGTAGGGCCAGCCCTGACTGGTTGTTTGGGACAAATACAACCCGGGTGGGGGGCCTCTCCCTTCGGCACCCTCACCTCGGTCTGTGAGTCTGCTCTGAGGCGCCTTCTTCTCTTCCTTAGGCAGAATTTCTGGAGAAACTCTGGGAGCCAAGAGTTGACCACCCTCTTCAAGAACAAGTCAGGAGGGCAGATGTGGGAGAGATGGCCCAGCAGAGCCCAGGGGCACCCTGCAGAATGGGTCACAGAGCCTGGTAGGTAAAACAGGGTTGTCTATTGTCAGGGGCCCCGAAGAATTGGGTGGGTGCTACAGCGTACCATGCTGTGAATCCCCAGACTTCTGTAATGATTCTGAAATTTATAATTTGGAATAAATCAGACAAGTTTAGCCTAAAGCAGTTGGAATTAATAAAATCTTTAGTAGATGTTCATGATTCATTCAGATTCTAGCTCCTGCTACCTCCCCAGCTAGTCCTTACGTAATTTCTGTCCAGAATCTTTGTTCTCCACCCACCTCCCCTTAGCTGGGAGCTGGAAGATAGCATCCCGTATGAAGAAACCCCAGCTTCTCTCCCTCTGATTGTTCTTTGTGAGGCCCTCCCCTCCCCCCCGGCAGAACTGCTGCCATCCTCTGAGCTGTGGGCACTGGCCAGAATCCTCCTCGGCCTGGAGGAATGGAAGGAAGCGTTTGGTGAGGGGTCATGCTGGCTGGCCTGTGAGGAAGTGACAGTGTCTGACCCCAATTGTGCTGATTTAATCACCTCCCACTTCCCTGCAGGACTCCTGGTAATGTCACACCAGAGGAGAGGCAGGGATTAGGGAGGGGAAACCCTGCAAATTCCCACCCTACAACCCTGCCTGCTGGCTGTGGGATGAGCTGGGCACAGAGCATGCTCATTAGTTGGAATGGCCCCTTTGGGATTTAAGATGGCGCACACAGACGGTCGCAGTGTCCGTGAGTAAGAAAGAGTGCCACAGAATGCTCGCCAGGGTTTCCTCCACGTCTCACACGGTGTCTGTCCATCCGGCGTCCACCCAGCCTGTGGACCACACCCAGCTCCCTTCAGAATGGTAAAAAAGATTGGGGTTCCCAGCACCTGGTGACCAGCAGCAACGTAGTGCCTCGGCTGCTTTTAGAGCTTTATCAGGCCTGTGCCCCCCTGGGGGTGTGTCTGCACCACTGAGGGGGAGGGGCAGGAGTGGCGGGCACCCCCTCCCTCCACATCATCACAGGACACTCTTCTAGCACCCAGTCTTTATTCGTTTTTTAAAAAAGAAATCCAAATAAGTTAGCAAAAAAAAGAAAAATTACAAAACAATGGCAAAACCACACAATGCTTAGTTAAGAAAAGAAATCACCCCAAGAGACCCTGCCCCCCTCCCTGCCTGTCCCCGGCAACTGGTGCACAGGAGACCTTGGTCAGATGGCAGCTTTACAAACAACACAAAACATAAAACCACTGGAAGGTTCCCAATATTCACTGCAAAAGCTTGGCCCCCCAGGGACTTGGGAACAGAGGCTTGTTCCTCTCCCTTGCTTCTCCCTCGATTCAGGGCAGGCCCAGCCCAGCCCCTGGCATCAGGAAGAGACAAGAACAGGAGATGGACACAGCCCGTCCTGGGCAGGACACTGTCATCGTCTCTCAAATGGTTTCTTTTGAGGGGGTGGAATTGGAGGCCGCGCTATGAACTGAGGGAAGCTCCTGAGTTTGCCCCCTGAGACAGGGCACACACGAGGGGCACTCTGGTCCCCTGCTTTATTACCCCGGAAACGGGATGCCCCTTGCTGTAAGGAGTCAGCTAAATGAGAACATCCCTTCCCTCTCTGGGTGGTGAGTTAACCTTACACAGATGAGGAAGGGGATAGTCTGGCACCTGGCAGTCCCAGCACTGGCCCACTGGCCTCAGGACAGCCTGGCCGAGGATGCCCCCCCCCCCCCCCC